AAGAATATGATGAAGTTGCGACCGAGTCGGGCGAGCAAACTGTGGGCCAACGAATTTGGGGGGCTCTCAAATACACGCTCTCATTCGTTGCAGTCGTGGTGATCTTGTTCCTAGTTGGTTTCTTTGTCCCGGTGTCACAGGGAAAAAATGAGATGGATCTGGATTACTTTAGGCGCTTACTGACTGAAAACCGTGAGCATCCCAGTATCCTAGTGTTGGGCAGAACCATGAAGCTAACATAACTCCGAAAAGATGGCGAGCGTGCGCTCACTTTTGCTCTTGGTCTATTGATGACGATTGGGCTCTGTCTTTATGTCTTATACACATCCGTGGGACTGGCCCTTCTGCCAATCAGTTTGATCAAGACCGCACCCTCAATTTCTAGCGCTACCTTGCAAGCGAGCACTACACAGCAACTCGACACAAACCAAGAGCGGCAACGACAGCTCGAGGGGCGATGTGCTGGTGATCCCGGGCTTCTGTCCTCCAAGGACCGCCGAGAACTTGATACATTGGTGCGGGAAGAGAGGACCCTGATTCGGCGCCAACGTCTGGCCGAAGAATCCCAAGGCGGAGGCAGCTGGTTAATGAGGGCATGGTACAAAATTGGGGCAGTGTTCCGTCCCTTCAAGCTCCTGGGCGGCATCTTGCTGCTATTCATTGCTTTCCTCACATGGGTATCCATGTTGTTGACGGCCATCGACAAAGCCATAAACTCGATTTGCAAACATCGTTGTGGATATATCCTCGCACATATTAACATCTTTAACCCTGTCAACTGGGCGCTTGTTAAATCCGCCAGGTTCTTTCCCATTGACTACGCCATATTTACCGCACTTGTATTGCTGTTTTTCTGCAGCTCTGTGGTTGGAATCGCTGTGGTCGGAATCCGCTTCCTATGGATTAGGATTTTCCAAATCAGAAACGGCCACACATCTCCTCAGGCTCTACTCTTAGCTACCGCCATGTTGATGCTAATCATTTTAGCGTTGAATTACTCCATTTCGATGGTAGTCGCGCCTCAGTATGCCACATTCGGCCCACAAACATTCTGTGACCGTGCTCCGGGTACCTTCATCGGGAAACCAGATTGTTCAAACAGCAAAGAACTTATCAAGCCATGCTCAGAGCTGGCAAAAAATCCTGCTGCACAGCAAGTCTGCACACCCAGTGTCGTGAGCACCTTCTTGAACCGGGTCACCCTGAACTACCCATTCTTTGGAGTTGTATTCTTTTGGACCCAGTTCATCTTCCTAGGTATGTCTAAATCTTGATACAGTTCTACCAAAATTCCTTGTTCACATTGATCTAACACCAACATCGTAGGCTTGTATCTGATCGTCTTTCTTACTTCCCTTTTCCGGTCACCTCAGTTGGATGAAGCGCAACTCGATGAAGATGCAGAGGAAGCCGAGGAGGAAGGCTTGTTGGCGAATACCGGCAGACGTTTCAATGCTAGTTGGCAAGACATCATAGGGAGAGCTGCCCGGCCTGAACGCTCCCAAGGCTAATTACCGGGGCCTTGCAAATGGCGGTGGCTAGAGTACAGAGCCCCGTAGTCACCGAGACTACATATGCCAGAGATTAACTTGAACTGTTTTTAACCTGCAATAATGATTTGTGATGTTCCACGCAGTCCTATTTGAACGATTCCCAGGGATTTCAATGGGTTCTTTTTTTCCTTGTAGTGCCTTAGCCTTTCATTTTTTTAAGCCAGAATATTAGTAAGGAAATACATAATGGATGCTTCTTTTTTCATAATAATTCAATTCTTGTCTTCGGAAATCGATTCTCAGATAGTCCTCAAGGGGCAGAGTAACATAATCTCATAATCATCATAAACGTCGTATCCATCATCTGGTTAAACCTTCATTTGATCATTTAGCAAGGCCAGGGCGTTTTGGAAAGCCTTTACTACTTCCGCATCTTTGGACAGATGAGCAATCAGACCTTGTTTCCAAGTCAAAGGACAATATGAGACTTACAGTGCTTCTTTTTGTTTTCCACATTGACCTCGGAATTTTGAACGTGCTGCATTTGGGTCTTAAACCTGTAAGGCATCAATCATTCGTTCGTGATATCTTAGACTGAAGCTGGATTGGTCGAACCTTTTCAAAGCCCTGCTCTCATCTTGCGAAACGGTAGTTTGAGACCATGCCATGAAAACCTACCAGTTGATCAGACACAGAATTGCAAGTAATATGTGCGAATAAAACTTACTTCAAGAAGCTTGGCTGTTTCAACTCGAAGATTCTCTTCGACTCGGCCGTGTGCTTCCATTGCATCGGCATATTTCCCTTGGAGTTGTTCCCAGTCACAGTCCTCGAGTCCTTGTGTCAATCCAGAGACAAGCGGAAGCTCATCATGGATAGGTGCAGAGGTAGGAGTTTCTACTGGTGCTTGAGGGCTCTTGTTTTCTAGGAAGCTCCCACTGCCAGGAGGGCTTTTGCTTTCTTGGCTGACACAGGGTGATATTACCCCCGGCCGAGGGATTTTGCTGGCCCTATTTGGTGTGGACTGCATACTAAATTGCGTGACTGAAATAGAGAGTCATCAGAACACGGTCATATCAAAACCAATGATAGATTCAACTTTGGAGTCGCTTTTGTTTTGATTCATAAATGTTCCTATCCAAAAGATAAGATTTGTGATAACGGAGCGTCAGGTGACGTCGACAAGTGCATGTGCACATCCTCCCGTCTTTCTTCTCTTTCTCTTTGAAGATTTACTGAAGGTGATGCGAACCTGACATGCTGGCTTGAAGCCGGTCGTATCCTTTAGATCAGCATATTACTTGAGTCATGTGGAATTTGCATCCATTTAATGACCCCTTCTCTCCTCTATATGGTTCTCGGCGGCGACTCAAGTAGCACCCATAATTATCATCGAACGCAACATGGAAATTCCCCCTACGCTCTCAAAGAACAGCCGAAAATAAAATCAAATTGTCTGCGATGAGCTGTTCCATATGCTCACGTGCCCCTCATTCCCGCCTTTCTTTCCACTGTCCAACATGTGCCCGCAATCAGCTATATCAACTACGAATCGACAGCACTCAAGTTCTGCTGGAGAAAGAAGCCCTTGGAAAGCAAATTGAGACCGCTGTCACCTGTGATAGCTCTTTGGATCAGCCTCCCCCGCACGGACAAGACCTGGTCGATACGGACAAAACTTGCTCTCCCCGCTGGGTCCTCCAAACGATAAGCACTCGACATGCAGTGTCTTTGGCAAAGAGAGAATTGGTTTCAGATCAGATTACAGCTTTGAAATCAGAGATAAAAGCCAAGAAAGCTGAGATTGCCAAGCAAAAAGAAGCACTAGCACGCAGACGCTCAGATGCTGAATCTGCCAATTTTCAACTAGAAGAGCGGGAAGCTGGAATTCTGGCGGGTGTTCAAAATACCAGCAAAAGGGTGGAGCACGTTTGGCATTCCCTCCATAGTAAGACGGCGGAGTCACGTATTTATCTTTGTCGAGAAGTCGCCAATCTCTATGGCCTGCGGAAGACTACAAAGAAGGGCCAAGGTCGGGAGACATATGTGCTTGGAAGTGGTTTTATCGTTGACTTGAGGGATATGAATGGCAAGTTCCCACCGTCGCTTTCAAACAATTATTCATCCACTAACAGGGCGAGTACAGGTATTCCACCAGAACAGATATCTTCGTCTTTTTCTAACGTCGCTCATCTTCTGGTCATTGTCTCGCACTATCTTTCTTTGAGGCTTCCCGCCGAAATTACACTGCCTCACAAAAACTATCCCGTGCCTACGATCTACACCCCTTCAGCATCATATCGCTCGCGCGACGGTCACGAGGGAGCTGATTACCAGTCTTCGTCAAGTCCAGCTGCATCAAGGACAGTGGACCCGCGCATCCACACACCACGCCCCCGGCCTCTCTCCATTGATAAACCTCTAGCCCGGTTAGCGAGGGAGGATCCCGCAACATACGCCTTCTTTCTTGAAGGAGCCACTCTCCTAGCATGGAATGTTGCATGGTTATGCCGAACTCAAGGGATAAACCTCTCATCGGACTCTTGGGAAGAAGTTTGCGATATTGGAAAGGGCTTGTGGCAACTACTGGTTGCTCCGCCAGCCCATCCTTCAACTCTAATGCGAGCCTTTGCCGGACGAGACACACAGACACAGATGAAATCGGCCAAAGACTCACCCAAAACAACAATTCAGCGGACAACTTCTTTTCCCATGTTGGGCCACTATTCTCACGGCACGGCACACTCTTTCCTGGGTGCATCGGAAGGTGTTGAATTCATGCGAATATGGAAACTGCCAACTCCAACCAAGATCGTGGATAAATTGCGGTCCAATCTTCAGGGGGAAATGGCCAGTGCCGAGTGGGAATTGCTAGAAGAAAAAGAATGGGATGATGCGGTCACTGATTCACCTCAGCCATCTGTTCCGCAAAGCCCCAAAGACATTGCGAGAGTGGAAACAGACACAGACAGTAAAACTACAGGTTCAAAAACACGCAGTTCTGGGAGGACTCAAGGCCATGAGGATGCTTCTCCACGACCTAAAGGTACCAAAGGTTGGACTAAGGTTGGCAACAGGTAGGTAGGGATCAAGTTCAAATTTCTATTTTACCCCAACTATTCAATGTATATCACTTTCATACACAAATCCTAGTACGCGTATTGCCCACGTGGGATCCCAGTAGATATGACTAAGCGAAAGGGGCCCGGAGAGTCGAGACTCGCATTATCGCGTGTCCCAGAACACTCTGGCTTTTCTGTTTTTAAATACCTATGCCTTTGTTGATTTCGAATTTCCCGTGCTTGCGTCAACTCAATTGTGTGACTACCTACATCTCTTTGACGTTACCCGGCCTATCAAACACTCCCCACCGCAATCCAACTGGGGATGTTATTACACCAACAGGGTTGAGATAACAAAATGCAGAATGCCCAAGACTGGCAGACTGAAAAGGGTTTGCCTTCAGGTTAGCATATCTTATAAATCAATCGTGATCGGCTTCTAAATATGTTCCGAGCAGACTTGAAGCGTACGCTATCCGCAATCTCAGAAATCCCCGATGCTCTTTTGCGAGCAGAGCTTCTTCGGCGAGATGGAGCTTCAGACGATACCCCAGCATGCGGATCTAAAGAGCGTGGGGCCTATAACACCCCGTTACATGTTATGGCATTGTTCCTCATCCTTGGACTGAGCACATTTGGTATGTACTGGCTTCTCTCGGATCTCTCAGGTTGGCCATTGCTAATGCTGAAACTACAATAGCTTGTTCTTTTCCCGTTCTAGCGCGCCGTTTCCCTGGTCTCCCGATTCCCCGTCGGTTCCTCTTTATATCAAGACATTTTGGAACAGGTGTATTGATTGCAACCGCCTTCGTCCATTTACTCCCCACAGCATTCGTCTCCCTGACCGACCCATGTCTCCCTCGATTCTGGAGCCAAACATATCGTGCTATGGCAGGATTTGTTGCAATGATAGCTGTATTTGCAGTCGTTATTGTGGAAATGTTCTTTGCGATGAAAGGCGCAAAGCACGTGCACGGAAGTGAATATGATAATCTCATTGGCGAGGATACGCGTGACTCAATAAGGGATGGGGGAGATCCAGATGATTACTCAAATCTAGAGGCCCGGCAGGTTTCAGATAATATCAATCTAGATAGCATGGACAACTCCAAGTTCAGGGCAACGAGAGCTTCCGGCTCGGACCGTGAATTGGATCGTCTTGATCTGACAGCCACGTCACCGGATAAAGTGGACGATGTGGATGACCTTGATGGACTGGATGACTACATGGATAATGACGCACTTATCAGCGGACAGGCTCCTGCGCAGTCACAGTCTGTCCACCGGCATCGATCCCGGGGAAGCGAAAGCCACCGGCAGCCGACCGACACAGACATGCCGATCCAGAATCCACAACGACAGCTTCTACAATGCCTTCTCTTGGAAGCTGGCATTTTGTTTCACAGCATCTTCATCGGCATGGCGCTTAGTGTTGCGACTGGCACGTCCTTTGTTGTCCTGCTAATTGCAATCAGTTTTCATCAGACCTTTGAAGGTTTCGCCCTTGGGTCGCGGATTGCATCGCTAATACCGGATCTCTTCGCTCCAAATTCCATGAAGCCATGGCTTATGTCACTGGCATACGGAACGACAACCCCCCTTGGCCAAGCTATCGGTTTGGTTCTACACAATCTCTACGACCCTGCCAGCGCAACAGGTCTGCTCATGGTTGGCATCACGAATGCCATTAGCAGCGGTCTTTTGCTCTTCGCGGGCCTGGTGGAACTCCTCGCCGAGGACTTCTTGAGTGAGCCAAGCTATGAGACCCTCAAGGGTAGACGACGTGTTGAGGCTTGTGTGTCCGTTGCCTGCGGCGCTCTCCTTATGGCATTCGTCGGGGCCTTTGCTTAAAAGCATTGATTATGTTTGGGGTTTCTCGGTTATAATGTCTGATAGATTAACGAAGCAAGCGATCTTTCCTTTCTCAAATGTATACAATTAATACTACTTTCCATCCATCAGAATTTTATGTGGATATATACTACTCCGTACATCCCGGGGGAATCTCATGAAACACATTTGGTTCCTATTTATTCCGATCTGATAACTCGAGCGGGACTACCCACTGCAACACTCAAGGCTGGTATATCCCGTTTCACCACGGAGCCAGCACCGATGGAAGATCCATGGCCAATAGTGACTCCAGCCAGGATCGTCACATTAGCTCCAATCCAGCAATCATCCCCAATGGCAATGGGCCTCGTAAATTCCAGTCCTCTATGCGCCTTTCGTGCTTCGATACCCGTCTCGTGTTCTCCCGTGATGATGTTGACATTAGGGCCAAACATAACATTGTCCCCAATGGAAACTAGGCCACAGTCTAGGACAGTGAGACTTGAGGAATTCTGGTTAGATTTTGTTTTATTCTGTACAAAAGTTTGACTCACTGGAAGTTGGCGTAGAATCCGGTGCCTATACTGATATTGCAACCGTAGTCCACAAATAGTGGAGGCTCAATATATACTCCTTGCCCAACACGACCAAAGAGTTCTCAAAGTACGTCTTCTCGCTGAGAGACTACTTGTGAGTCGGGGGCTTCTAATGGAGGTGGTGCATTGAATGCCGTCATTAAACGTCTTGCTCGAGACCTGCCCTCTATGAGTTCGGGGCCTAAAGGGTTGTAACTGCATGTAGGTTAGAACCGTTTGAGTCTATACAAGGAAGGATGTGTATCTCTTACAGCATCCCCGATATCATTCGTTCATATTCCTCTCCCCAGAAACGATTCTGGAGTTGCTTAGCTTTCTCAATGTTCTCACTGTCCTTTTCGGTTTTAGGTATCATGGCTGAGATCGTAACTAGTATCGAGATAGATAATGTCAGGCTATCGAGGTTAGGTCTTCTCACCTGGGCAAAGTGGTTGCTTTATATATTCCTAAATCGTCAATATAGCACATCATTATTAAATATATTGCCGCCGCCTCGGATGCCATTGACTAATAGGTAGAATGGAAATACGAACTGAGTAGGAATGGAATACGAGCTGATGGCTTTAGCATTTCAATGCTGGAATATCGGCCCTCAAACCCGACTCTTAGGCCGAGACCAACACGAAGCAAGTGGAAAACAGGATATGAACACACAAGGATATCTCATTAATTATTCTAGATACCGAGAAATCGCACTGATACTGCGAATGTTTGTCGCTGCAGGATGGGGTATGTCTGCAGAGAACCGAGTACCTTCCGCGTCAAAATGAACTTGGTATTTCACATGCAAAGAACAAAGGTCGTTTCACATCTCCGTTGTCGTTAACAGAGTATACTCTTTAGATAGATTCAAGCACCAGGGCACTGGCACCGCCGCCACCGTTACAGATGCCGACGCAGCCAAGCTTGCCGCCCTTGGCACTCAGGACACCGAGCAGGGTGGACACAATACGAGCACCACTGGCACCGAGAGGGTGTCCAATGGCGACCGCACCACCGTGCATGTTGACCTTGTCCTCGGAGAGACCGAGGAGCTTCAGGTTGGCAAGAGCCACAACACTGAAGGCCTCGTTGATCTCAAAGGCATCAATGGAGTCCTGGGTCACACCGGCGTGCTTGAGAGCCTTGGGGATAGCCAGAGCAGGGGCAGTGGTGAACTTGCTGGGCTTGTGCGCAGCATCACCCCAACCCAGAATCTTGGCAATAGGCTTGAGGCCGAGCTCCTTCACCTTAGCCTCGGAAACCAAGACAACGGCGGCGGAACCGTCGTTCAGGGGTGAGGAGTTGGGGGCGGTCACGGTTCCAGTGCCGGGGATGAAGGCGGGCTTCATGGCGCGGAGCTTCTCAGGGTTGAGCTATAAGCCGCGAGAAATGGTCAGTCAAAGTCAGGAGAAAATCTAACGCGGAAACCAAGAGGCACTCACGTTCTTGGGCTCATCATCCTGGGAAATGGTCACACCGGGCTTGCCACGGAAGCCGGGGATCTCAATAGGAGCAATCTCGTAGTCGAAAGCTCCGGCCTTTTGGGCAGCCTGGGCCTTCTCATAACTGCGGATAGCATAGTCATCCTGCTCGGCACGGTTGAAGCCGTGCTCCTCGGCGCACTCCTCAGCCGCAAGACCCATGAGATCCTGCTTGCCGTAGGCATCGGTCAAACCGTCCTTCTGGATACCGTCAACCAGGGTCTGGCTGCCAAACTTGGTACCGGTGCGGGAGGTTTGCAGGTAGTGAGGGGTGTTCGACATGGACTCAGTTCCACCAGCGACAACAATATCGGCGTTTCCGGTCATGATAGTCTGGGCACCGAGAATGATGGCCTTCAGACCAGAAGCGCAGACCTTGTTGACAGTGGTGCAGACGGTAGAATCGCTAAGGCCAGCACCGATGGCGCACTGTCTGGCGGGGTTCTGTCCGACACTAAACGAAAATCAAGTCAGTTTCAATTGCGACATAATATGTAGCAAAGTTAACCTACCCAGCAGACAAGACGTTGCCGAAGAAAACCTCCTCGACATCAGAGGCATTGATGCCCTCAGCCCGGTCGACAGCCGCTGCAAATTATTAGCATTGAAGTGGGTGGTATAGTTTGGGTGATATGCCATACCCTTGATAGCATGTGCACCAAGTTGGGGAGCAGTCAAGCTAGAGAGAGAGCTACAGCAACTAATGTCAGATCAGGCTCCAGGGGTTAAAAAAAAAAGAAGAATCCAGGAATGCTCACCCCAGGAAAGATCCCACTGGAGTACGGGCAGTAGAAACAATGTAGACGGGAGGAAGAGAAGACATTTTGGTGGAAAAAAAGAAAGATTATGGAAGTAGGAGAGCAAAGGAAGAATATACAGAAGTAGAAAAAAGGAGACAAGAGATCAAAGAGGGAGGGGCATCTATAAGAGTAAATTGTACGGTGGGGAGTGAGGAGCTGTACGGTGTAGGCACGAGTACTCCGACAGAACGCACGGACCAAGTGAAAGTTGAGATCCTCAACTTCTCCGGCATCACGCGTCTGGAGCTACGGTCCCTCTTTTTTCCCTTAACAACGTTCACGTTCTCCATTCATTATGGATGACCTCTATGATGAGTACGTTTCTCTGGCTTTAAATCTACGACCTTACTAATTGTGCTTAGATTCGGTAATTACATCGGCGATGCCGAATCCGATGAGGAACATCATGAAGATGTACAGCCACAAGCCTTCAAGTTCGATGAGGCTTTCGATGATGAAGAAGAAGAGGAGGAAGTCAATGACCTACAATTGATGGAAGTTGATGGTGTGTTGACACCCCTTATTCACAGTCTGTGTAATCTCGCTAATTTCGCATCTTCAGAGGGTCCTTCGAATGCGGTCATATTGCACGAAGACAAGCAGTACTACCCCAGCGCACAACAAGTCTATGGCGAGGATGTCGAAACCATGGTCCAGGAGGAAGATGCGCAACCATTATCAGAGCCCATCATTGCCCCCGTCCAGCAGAAGAAATTTGCTATCACAGAGACCGAACTTCCACCCGTACACTTCTCTCGAGAGTTCATGTCTGATCTCTTGAACTTCCCAGAGCAAACAAGGAACGTTGCAATTGTCGGTCATCTGCACCATGGAAAGACTGCTTTCATGGATATGCTGGTTAAACAGACGCACGACCTAACAGAGCGGCTGGAGAAGCGCACAGGCCGGAAGAGAGAAGAACAATTGCGATACACCGATGTCCATTTCCTAGAGAGAGAGCGCGGTGTCTCAATCAAGTCGGCACCGATGAGTCTTGTTCTTCCAAGCACCAAAGGCAAATCTCACCTGCTCAACCTCCTTGATACCCCCGGGCATGTGAATTTTGTCGATGAGGTGGCTGCCTCTATCCGCCTGGCTGATGGAGTGGTACTGGTTGTTGATGTTATTGAAGGTGTTCAAGCGAACACTGAGCAAATTATCAAGCATGCAGTGTTGGAAGATCTCCCCTTGACCTTGGTCGTCAACAAGGTGGATCGACTCATTCTTGAACTCAAATTTCCTCCCAATGATGCTTATTTCAAATTGAAGCATGTGATCGAAGAGGTGAACACGATTATCGAGAAGATTTTGCCAGGGCAAGGCGAGCGCCGACGACTGAGTCCCGAGAAGGGCAATGTTGGATTCGCTTCCAGCTCCATGAACTGGTGCTTTACATTGCAGTCATTTGCCCGGATGTACGCAGACACTTACCCGAGCTTGGACTCGACACAATTTGCTGCGCGACTTTGGGGTGACATCTTCTACAATCCCCAGAGCCGAAAGTTCACCCGCAAAGGAGTGGAAGAGAATGCAAAGCGGTCATTCGTTAAATTTGTCTTGGAGCCTATCTACAAGCTCTACTCTCACACACTAAGCGAGAGTCCCGAGGATTTGAAACAGACTCTGGCTAGCGTCGGGGTCACTTTGAAGCCGTCTCAGCTCAAGACCGATGCCAAGGAGCTACTCAATCTAGTCTGCGAGCAATTCTTTGGACCCGCCACTGGCTTTGTGGATATGGTCGTTCAGCACGTTCCTTCCCCAGTGGAAGGTGCCCAGAGATCGTTGGAGCGATACTACACTGGGCCTGTGGATACCAAGGTTGGGGCCTCAATGCTCGCTTGTAATCAAGACGGGCCTCTGGTTATCCATGTCACCAAACTCTTCAGCAGTACCGATGCTGGAAGCTTCTACTCGTTTGGAAGAATTATGAGTGGTACAGCGCGGCCTGGTCAGCAGGTCCGTGTCCTCGGCGAGGGCTACACGCCAGAAGACGAGGAAGACATGGTGGTAGCAACTATCTCCGACACGTGGATTGCGGAAACGCGTTACAACATCCCGACCAACGGTGTCCCCGCTGGAAACTGGGTGCTTTTGGGTGGCGTTGACAACTCAATTGTCAAGACTGCCACCCTAGTGCCCCTGAAGCTCGAAGATGACGAGGAGGCGTACATCTTCCGCCCGATCCGGCACATGACCGAATCAGTGTTTAAGGTCGCTGTCGAGCCGGTCAATCCATCAGAACTTCCCAAGATGTTGGATGGCTTGCGGAAAATCAATAAGAGCTACCCCCTCATCTCAACCAAGGTTGAGGAGTCTGGCGAGCATGTGGTTCTAGGAACTGGCGAGCTTTACATGGACTGTGTGCTCCATGATCTCCGGAGACTATATTCAGAGATGGAGATCAAAGTCTCCGACCCTGTTACACGTTTCTGTGAGACTGTGGTGGAAACCTCAGCTATCATGTGCTACTCAATCACTCCGAATAAGAAGAATAAGATCACGATGATTGCGGAGCCTTTAGACGATGGGATTGCAGAGGATATTGAAAGTGGTAAAGTCAGTATCAAGGATCCTATTCGGAAGGTTGCCCGATACTTCGAGGACAATTACGATTGGGATAAGCTTGCAGCCCGAAGCATCTGGGCGTTTGGACCTGATGAAATGGGACCCAATATTCTGCAAGATGACACTCTACCCTCCCAAGTGGATAAGAAACTTCTCGGTACTGTCAGGGACTCAATCACCCAAGGCTTCAGCTGGGGTACACGTGAAGGCCCTCTTTGTGAAGAACGTAAGTTTTGACTTCCCCTCCCTTCCAGTCGCCAATGATCTTGCAGTCTCGGAGAAAATGATGAATATGACACTAATCAAAGTTTAGCCATTCGAAACACAAAGTTCAGGCTCACAGATGTGTCCCTGGCCGATCAGGCTATCTACCGCGGTGGAGGCCAACTTATCCCCACAGCCCGCCGCGCTGTTTACTCCTCTTTCCTCATGGCGTCTCCACGTCTCATGGAACCGATCTATTCTTGCGCAATGACAGGACCTGCAGATGCCGTGGCTTCGGTATACACACTCTTGTCCCGCCGAAGAGGTCACGTCCTGTCAGACGGCCCCATTGCGGGGACGCCTCTTTACTCCGTACGTGGTTTGATCCCAGTGATTGACTCGTTTGGATTTGAGACAGATCTCCGAATTCACACACAAGGTCAAGCCGCGGTAAACCTTTCGTTCGATAAGTGGAGCGTGGTCCCTGGTGATCCACTGGACCGTGACATCAAGCTCAAGCCCTTGGAGATGGCCCCTGCGATGGCCACTGCCCGGGACTTTGTCTTGAAAACACGGAGGCGCAAGGGTCTGGCCGAGGATGTTACTGTGAGCAAGTTTTTGGAGCCGGAGCTTTGGAAGGGATTGAAGCAGAACGGTGTGCTAGATTCATGATCTCAAAATTTTCACTACTTAAAAAATAGGATTGGCTACGGGGGAGGGGAGTCCTTTGATCCGGTGTTCAACAATCTTATTGGTAGAGTTCATATGTACTTCTAATACTCATTCCAATGCAAGTCATTCAAAATCTAGAGTCATTCATCGTAGGCGGTCGTCACACGAGAGGGCCTGGCCTATTTGCCGGGTGATAGGTCATTACTTGCACCAATGCAATAAAACCCCGCTTATAGTACAGAGGGAACTTAAAATGTCAAGCAATTTCAACGGCAAGTCTCCATCATTTTGGCAATGACCCCCATCAACGCACCATTCTCGAGGGCCGCGGCAACCCGCTCCTTATCGGCGAGCTGCTTATTGACTTCATCTCCGGTGCTGTGTGTACCTTCCTTAATACGCACATCCATTCTAAATCGTGACGGAAGAGACTGTTCCAGACGAACGCGGACGCCGAGACCGATGACGGTTGCCAGACTGCAGTGAGTGATTGTGGGGGTGATAAGCACAGTGACAGTTTGCAAAGGCGAATCAGGGACATTTGGGAGGGTTGGCTTGATCGCAATATCTGGGAGAGATACCACGGCTAATTCGCCGAGTGAGATTGGGTGTTCCGGATCGGAGATGGTCGAGATGAGGTCTGGTTGTGTTAGTGGACTAAGCTATGCAATCATTCGCGGGGGCGTATGGGCTTTCTTTTTGCCCCCCCCCCCCCCCCCCCAGCGATGGGTATACGCGAGAAAGTCTTACCATATATCTCCTGTTCATCAATAGGCTCCTCCATCAGGTTGTCATCTTCGGAGTCAGATGATGGGGCACTGTCGAAGTCTACAGGGGCGAGGGGCAGAGCCGATGTGAAGATACCACCATATTCGGACTTGCGAGTGGCGGTGGGTCGCAGTCGCGTGGGGAGATCAGCTGCATTGATAATCGTGGGGTTTGAATTTTGTATTTCCGACATGATGAAATAGTGTAATCAGGTAGAGAGACCTTGGGAAAGTGTAGAGTCAAGGTTGAGGTAGAGTTAAGGTGGGAGGGTAAAAATTGCCGATAACGTTTATCGGGTTCACGTGCCAGTCCTCGGTAAGTATGCTTTTAAAAATGTTTTAATATATAGTTTTATTAAAGACTCTGGAGAATATAAATGATTTAAGAAATGTATAATTTATCATCTTAATCTTTACATGGGTAAAATAAGACTAAAGTTCTGTCGACGAATCTCAGCCACTCGGGATGATCGACAAGCCGAAAAGTGCTTTAAAATCAATTTTATCCGAAGTCTCCCCGGCAATTTTGACCCAATTTCAAGGTTACACAGAACGTGTTCTTTTCCTGTTTCAGATATAATTTTTTGCTTTTCTATGTTGTATTGCATATATGTACTTTTTATAGGTGGACTACCAGAGTACTCCTTACAGGATTACTACATAGTAGGTTCATGTACTCCGTAGCCCTATTGTACATTTATAATGATTATAATAGCATGGGGCCATAAGCATGATTCACTAGTGGAGGGGAATCCCCTTCTCTTATTCCTACATATTTTATATATACAAAATTCGGAATAATTTCTTATTATTTCCATAAATAAATTATCATAAATAGAAAGATCTTAAAGGTTATACAGATGTATAGAAATGTAAAAGAAAATCACCGGATCGCCCCTCCACCCTGGGAAAATCCACAGCGGAGGACGCGCTATTGGATCCTCTCCCACACTTGGCAACCGTACCTCTCACCCCTCTGATCTTCTCTCTCTCTCTTTCTCACAGCTCTAATCTTCCCCTCCTTTTGACATTTTCAATCGCCTCCTATGTCTCCACTTATGTGCTCGTCCTAATGCGCGCTTCTGCCACATGTTCCCCAATTGAGATGCAATGCGCCAGGCTCATTAATTCGAATGTGTGCTCTGCGACATTGATATCGATGGATATACACCGGAAACTCTTCAACTTACCCCTGTAAGGGCTCTCGATGTTCTTCTTGATCTTATTTGATCTGGATTATATATGTGTATGTGCGAGACGCTAATTGCGACCTGTGCTTATTGTAGCAATCATCTATTTGTCCGCCTATATTCGAGCCCCAAGACAACCTGATTCCATTTCACTGTCAAGCCTCACATACTTGATATACATTGCATTTAGTTTATTGAGAGCGCAAATCTTCCAATCACAACAGTCTCACAGAACATTGCGTGTCTCCGGACTTTGGCGACCTTTGCGACTTTTGCGACCTGTGCCGGTTAATTTCTGCGGAGCCTCGGCACGTCGATCGCATCCTTTGGATAACCTGGAGTTCGTCTCTCGTGGCACAGTTGGGTCACTCGCGATATATTCCCATCTCGCGGGGCGAGATTGAACCTCAGCCTTCTCTCACACACACCGACAAACCTCCTTCAGTTTCCCGAGGCAGGCCCTTGTGGATAGAAAGCACGGACTTCTTTTTTTTCTCTCTTGATACCCTGATAGTCCTTGCTTGAGTTACCTCTACCGTCATATTTTACACCGTTTTCCAAACCCATCACTTGTTACCAAACGGGCAAGAAATGCAGGGTTATTCGTTTGCGCCCCCAGCGGGCCCCCCGAGAGAAGGCCAGAAAAGTATGTCCCTTAGACCATCTGTTTCTTGCACGTTACATTGACAACTAACCGCTAATCGGTGTAGACTATGTATTCGTTGATGAGCATAACCGACACAAGAGGCTGAAAGGTAGGAAAGCCGCCCATCACTAGTCGACAACGAATACTGATAAGCATGACATTTAGTAATGCGAGCCTGTAATGGTTGCCGAAAAAGGAAAATTAAGTGCGATGCAGCTACGACAAATACGTGGCCTTGCTCTGCATGCACTCGTCTAAAGCTGGTTTGCGTCCCTCCAGCCATCGGGCAAGATGGAGACTTTTTCCCTGATGGGCAAGGCGAGTCCACTCTAGAGACCGGGGGACCCTCCAACACAGCCGAGGGCTCTCATACATTTCCCGCGGCCCCAGTCTACAGGGACAACAGTCAGCCCACCATGAACCCCTCGTATGATCAAATGAGCATGTATTCCCAATTCGTTCCACATGCTCAACCCAACATCTACAATGATCTTCAGTCATCACAAATGGCAATGCCAAACCGCACTTTTCAACAGCCGCATATGTTTCCTGGGCCGCAAACTCCGTCTATTGGATCAGATCGGAATGTGTATGTTGATAATGAGCATGCAGAAAACCTCAGTGATGTACTTGGGGAGTTGAAGATTGACGAGAGTGGGATCGGTATGGCACATTGTCCTTCTACAGATTTTCCTGCGACTAATGGCTAACACTCCACCCCCCTCCAACAGCCCCATACATTAGAAGGCAACGCACAGATCGAATTGAGCCTGACGCCCCGGTCCAGGACGACTCCGATGAGCAATTACCACCTCTCAGCACCGGATCGGGTGCGACGATTCGAATTCCCCCTGAGCTCATGCCTGCTGAAGACGACGTAATGGCCTATTTCAAGATCTACTTCGATGAGATACACCCTTATGTTCCTGTCATATCTCGTGCCCATCTGTACTATCAATGGCAGCATGATCGCCATTCCATCTCTCCCCTTCTTCTAGAGGCCCTTTTTGCCTGCGCGGGTCGTTTATCCGATGAGCCGTCAGAAGGCGCTCAGTGGCTTGCCTTGGCCAATAGTGAGTGGACACTGAACACTCGTTCAGCCATCTTCAAAAGCTGACATCTTCTAGGGCACGAGAGAAGCTTTATGGATGTACCACGTCTGAGTACTATTCAAGCATTACTTCTGCTACTAAAAGCAAGGGAGTCTTTGCCAAAGAAAGGGTACTATTATAGGTCCTGGCAAACTGTCAAGACTATTGTCTCAATGGCGAAAGATTTGGATATTCATGAACATTACAGCAGTCACGCTGAAGGCAAGCCGTGTGGACTCAGTCCAATTGAATGCTTGGTGCACACCAGAGTGTGGCAGGCTCTCATGGTGGTTGAGGTGATGATTGGCGGGCCGCAAGGTAAGCCTATTCCGTCCATCGTTTATTGCAACCAGCTTCTGATCACAGTAGGCCGCTCGGATTACGGAGTGGATCCTCAAACAGTAGACATGCGCCCGACGCTAGACATCCGGGGCCTCGACCATTACGAGATTGACCGCTCAAGACAATACGCCTATTTCGTCCGCAACGCACATCACATCCGCATCATTACAGATATCTACCACAAAGTCAAGAAGCAAAAGGACTGGGGCGCAGATGCCCGGTTTGTACAAAGCAACCCGCTTTTCGCAGACTGGCTTCGCAATCTCCCTCCAGACCTACAGGTCAATTATCCTGCCGATGGCTCTCCGCCGTGGCTTCCATCCCACTTTGTGGGTAATATGCATTCTCATTGCCACCTCGCCATTATTATGCTACATCGGCCTCAACTTTTCGCATCCCAATCTTTTGCAGCCGGCGGTGAATGGAAGATCCATATGTCACTGTGCTACTCCTCGGCGAAAAGCCTCTGTCGACTGCAAGAAGCCATATTGCAAAGGTTTGGGCTATCTGGCCTACTTTACATGCAAAGAGGCATCAATTTTGCCATATATTGTATTCTGACTTGTACGATGCTGCACCTGGTAAGCATTCAAGAACGCGTGGGAATTTAGTAGCAAGGCCATTCTAATACGAACAGGTTGCAATTACCTCCCCCGACCCTGAGTTCAATTCGGATGCCCGTGAATTCTTCACCCGTCATATGCGAATTCTCGAGACGTGTTCCACCGCCTGGCCCATGCCCGAGATTCAAGCTCAGATTGATTCATTAAGACTGGCTTTCTCTGCCGACATGAATCGTCCTTTCGAGTTACAGCCCAACTTCCCATACGGCAGTCCCTCGGAACCCTACCACCCGAGTCCACCCATGGATGCGAACTATCATCCGCACTTGAATCAACTCCAACCTAGAGTGCGCTATACCCCAATAACTCCTCCGGTTTCGACTGGTGCTGAAGACTCGAAGTCCGATACATCTTCTCAGATACAATCCCTTGGAATGGTTGCCCATCAACCTCCAACAACTCATCCTCTGGAGACCCCTTCGGCTGATGAACACCATTGGGACCCGACCCGAATTATCACGTACGTACATGATTCACATCTCCCAACGACTCGACTCTGGCTTGGTCTCTTACTAATCTTTCACTCTAGTCAATGGGACATGGCCTTCTCCGTGAACCCCGCTACCGTCAGCGCCAACTCCCCGCCGATGCCTAGTATAAACAACTCAGTTCCGGGTGTACAAAGCGTTATCAACCCCCAATACCCCGTCCAGTACGAGACACCTAACAAAGTACCCTCTGTCACGTCCACCCAGTCTCTCTCCCCTCCCCAGTTCCAAGCACCCCCAGTTCTGTTTTCGGCGCGAGACTGGCAGAACAGTGTTGCCAGTGTGTACGATCCACAAGGGCTGAAGCGGCGATGGAATTACCCAGTTGATGCTGGTTCCGACAATATGTCTAAGCGCCAAAGAGGATGAGACGCACAAAAACCCAAGTCATCTACGACCCTCTCCCATTCACTCGCTCGATTTTTCCTCTTTTTGGCCTCTTGGTTCTTGTCTAACTACCCCAGGCAACCATTGCCATTGAATCTCCAACCTACCCTCGCTGCTGTCACTCTATGTTCCCTATTTTCTTTTCTTTTGTTTAACATCTCCTTGTTTCTTTCGTTTTATATTCGAGCGCAAGACGATATAAGCATGGCTCAATGAGGAAAAATTAGAGGGTAGAAATGCTAACCATCATAATATTCTGACCAGCCGGGCTGGGATGACAGTTGATGCATGACTCCTGCTGTACATCATAAGCTTATGAATTGGTCTCTTTGGTAGGCTGAATCTAGAGAAGAATCGACTGTTATAGAAAGACGTTCAAATTGCTGGGCTTGTCGGTAGAGCAGTGGTCATATAGTTCTATGTTTCAAAGGAGATTCTCGGTTGTTCTCGCTCTTCAGTATCCTTGTTACCTTGAGTCCATTTTTAAGCTACAGCCTCCGATCAAACAATTATCGGAATATGCCAAAACGAAGAGGGAAATTGCTAAGAGCATCAGTTCTTGTCAAGATACCCGATAAATGTGATCTTGATCAACAAAGTATTGTACATTGATTTCTGCTTTGTGGCGAAGATATCCCAACTATGCCAATTCGCTTCTCTGGTATTGAATCAACGTCCTGGCCAATGGGTCACCATAGGAGGAATGGTGAGGTATGGGATCCTAATATCTTGGTAGATATTGGCAGAGAAAAACCCATGTCCTGTTAATCTCATGATCATGGCGTTTAAAGAGCACCGACGCTCTATGATTGTTCAATCGCTCGCTGTCATGCGAGGAAGATGGTGTGTGATGTATGAGATGGGTATTATGTCCTTAACGCCAAGATCCTGCACTATTTGTTTCTTGTTAATGATGAATGACATGGCCCAAAGGAGAGATTCAAGTAATCCAAAGGTGGAAGAACACATGTAAACATATCACGATTGGGTCATGTACCTCATTTTGAAGTGTTCGCGATGTGGAACAAGCCAGTCCAACATATAACGGTGGTTTGGATGCTCGAGGTTGTAGTGCAGACGATCAACCACGTCGACTAATGCCTATTCTTTCTTCACGGGTCCGGACAATCCTAGCCTTGTCACCTGGCAGTGGTTTTAACTCATCGCTGGGGTCAACGTTGGTATTGGACGTCGTCTTTGTGTGTTGTTCTGGGTGCTTATTTTCTTCAGACAGTTTGCGCAGTCTGGCTTCTTCAAATGCAGCAATATCTTCAGAAGTAATAGCAATAGCTGTTGGCTTTCGACGAAGCATTTTGGCTGTGAGAAGTTATTGTAAGGAAGACTTCCAAGTCGACGATGGCTGTGTTTACTTGGGCGGAGGACAGAGGAAGGCGGTGCATCACGTGACCACAGTTCTTCATTCAATCTTTCCGCATGGAGCAGCATCAAGTCTCTCTACCAAAAACGTTCCAGGGACACGACCTGGTTCATTCAGAATACAAGATGTTCCGGCCACAGTTGAGACAGATCTCGCTGCACTGTGAACGGGCAAAATTGGGTCTTTCGGCCCCTGCTCGCCAGTTCTCCTGTACCCGTACAGTGGCCGAAGGTCAAGACAAGCCATCCGGTATGTACATCCAAGGGAAACAGGCATTGAGCAAGACAAATGCAGTTGTGCAATTTCACCTAAAATATTCGCGCCATTGGGAGTTTTCATTCTAACACACGACCTTAGCCAACCGTAAACCCAATACCCGCCCTTCATCAGGCAATTTTATGACCTACAAGCCTCGCGATCCCAATGCCCCTCCTCGCAATTCCAACGGCCCACCATCTCGCACCAACCAGTATCAATCTCGTCCTCCTCGAGTGATTGACGCTAGATCTTTCGCGGCGGCACGAGCCAGCGGTGGAGAGCAATCTAAGATTATCCGCAGCCCGCGATCCCGCAACGTTCGCGGCGGCGACCAATTTACAAATCGCAAGCCCAAGCCCTTCGCCAAAGGCGCTAAAGGTGCCAAAGCTGCCAAGGGTGCCAAGGGTAACCGGACTCGCTCACGCAGAAGCGCCAAAACTTCCGAGAAAGACGAGGGTGAAGATGCTGAAGCGGCCGCTATCGACCAAGTCCTGGAAGAGCAAATCGTCAAATCCCGACCAACTCCGATTCGCTACGAGCCCCAGGAGATCAACTACTCTACTTTGAAACAGACCTGGCCTTCAATTCCCACCGACCTGAACTCACGTTCGGCTGCCGTCTATGAGAAGCTTGCCACCCTGGGAGGCCGCGTTGCCAATGGCTATATCCCACCCTATGAGCTTGGAAGACGCCTGTGGAAGGGCCAGAACGTTCTGTTCACTAGCGAGACTGAGAAGGCCGAGGCTATGGAAGAGATTAAGCGATTGGCCCAGCTTCGTGCCGATCGGATTTCACAGCGCAAGGGTGACCTTGTGGAGCCTCGGAATGTCGAGTTTAGTCCCATCGATGCAGGAGCCACCAAGACTCTCATAGAAACATACGTTCAGGGTAACTACCCCGCGGCTGAAGTTGGGAAGGGTGGACATGCCGTATTGGGAGAGGTCTCGAAGAACCTCAGGAACAACGGGACCTACCAAACCACCGGAAAGACCGCACAGTTCATGACCAAGATTGAATCTCTAGTCTCTGCTGGCCGCAATGCCAAGACCAAGAGCGCCTAAGGATATGTGAAGTAGCTAGGAGTGATTTGTATTATATTTGTTTCGTTGATCGGGTTTATTTTCCTATGTTCTCTTCATATCTTCCCCGATTATGCCTTTGTCTGTACCTAGATATACAAAGTTTTATTTTACAAACGCCCATTGCCTAAGTTTTTCCCGTAGTTTCCCTTGGCTTGCCAATTGGGCCTCTTATACCTGTTCCAAAGTCTTCTTGGCCGCTTCAAATGCATCCTTCACCTCCTTTTGGCCCTGGTCTGTAACCTTCTCCATCTGATCGTGAGCTTTACGCACGTCATCCGGTCGAGCTAGTTTCTTCTTCTGCATATCCTGAAGGCGCTTATGCATAGCACCCCTAGAGTCACGTACCAAACCGGCAGCCTTTTCAAATGCTTGCTTGGCAGCTTGGACATTCTTGTCCCGGGATTCTTTTGTAGGTGGTGGGATAGGAATGTTGAGCTGGAGGGCATTGTGAGAATCAGGCTGAGGAGTCAAGGATAGGTTTGAGGAGACGATCGCCGAAGTAAGAGGTTTCAAGTGCTGCACAAAATGTGTTAGAATATGTTCATATGGATAGCAATAGCAGGTTTATGCTGTAAGGAAAAAGTCGAGCATCATGAACTTACATCCTCTTCGGCAGCCAAAAGAGTAACCATGCGTCCTCCCTTGGGAACAACCTGCGCCAGATCCCCCAATTTGACCGAGTCTTTGCTGTCTTTGCTCAGGTGGACTCTCAGGCTTTCTATGGCTGCGGTATTGAACCGTCCTCCTGCGCGAAGCTTGGACAGATCATCTTTCAGCCGAGCAACAGCTGTGGAAATGCCATTGTGTAATTGGGTAAGATCAAATGGATCTTCAGAGGGGGCGCTAGAGCTTTCCTCTGGCTCAGAAGCAGAAGATTTCTTGGCCTTTTCCTTTTTCTTGTATAGGGCAGGCGAATTGGCAAACTCACGCCTATTCAGAGGAACGGCGCGCGGCGCTCGGGGTAGGAGACATAAAGGTCGAAGCGCTTGAGTCCCTTGAGGGTGTGAAACAAGACGAGGGCTAAAGGAGCGAATTGATTGGGTTATAATGCGTTGCATGGTGGAATTGATTTGAGGTAAAAGGTTTAAAAGCGGAGGTGTGTTGTACAAGTTCGGAAGTATCTCACGTTACCCGCGCTTCCGTCTCACGGCCAAAAAAAATCACACATTACTGAACTACCAAGGATTCCAAGTATTACTTTGAGAGGAAATCATCACAATGTCATTAAATTGCAGATGGCGAACTTCGTCTACAAAAAACAAAACAAATCATACTTTTCAAGAAAAGAAAACTGCGCCCAAGTTGCCCGGCTTCATAAACAAAGCGTGACAGAGACCAACTCAGCCCAAGGTCTACATGGTGCAGATTCCCCGAGAAGCAGAGTCAAAAGGAAAATTCGTTGGCCATAAGTCTATGTTCATGCCTTCCCATGTATGCATTTACCGTGTGGCCATGGCCTTGGTGATCAGACGCTTGAGAGCAAGCTCCTTCTTCTTGAGGTCCTCGGGGGTGGAGTCCTCAACCTCGAGCTGGGCCATGGCGTCGCTGAGAGCGGACTCAATGCGCTCCTTGTTGCCGCGCTTGAGCTTCATGGACATGCCGGGGTCGGAGACGATCTCCTCAACGCGGGAGATGTAGGACTCGAGCTGCTGGCGAGACTCGAAGCGCTTGGTGAAAGCCTCATCGGAGGTCTTGAACTTGGCAGCATCTAGAATTGGTACATTAGTATATATTCAAGGGATCACAAGTAACGGGAGAGAAACATACCGTCAACCATCTGGTCGATCTCGGCGCTGGAGAGCTTGCCGACAGCGTTGGAGATGGTGATGTTGGCACTGCGGCCGGAGGTCTTCTCAGTGGCGGTGACCTTCAGGATACCGTTGACATCAACCTCGAAGACACACTCGAGAGCGGCCTCACCAGCGCGCATGGGAGGAAGGGGAGCAAGAGTGAACTCGCCCAGGGAGGTGTTGTCAGCACAGTTGGTACGCTCACCCTGGTAGACGGGGAACTGGACAGTGCTCTGGTTGTCGACAACGGTGGTGAAGGTGCGCTTCTTGATGGTGGGGACAGTCTGGCCACGGTTGACAACGGGGGCGAAGATGTTACCCTCCATGGCAACACCAAGGGAAAGGGGAACAACATCGAGAAGGAGCAGGTCAGCGGTCTCGGCGGAGGTGGCCTTGCCGGAGAGGATACCGGCCTGGACGGCAGCACCGTAGGCAACAGCCTCATCGGGGTTGATGCTCTGTAGGAAGAAAGATAAGTAACTGGCTTTTTGCGTTGGATCAATTAGTGTTGTCTTACCTTCTCGAGCTTCTTGCCATCGAAGAAGTCGCTCAGGAGCTTCTGGATGCGAGGAATACGGGTGGAACCACCGACAAGGACGATCTCGTCAACCTTGCTCTTAGGAATGCCAGAGTCCTTGAGGACCTGCTGGACGGGGTCAAGGGTGCCGTTGAAAGCCTTGGCGTTGAGGTCCTCGAAACGGGCACGGGTGATGGAGGAGTTAAGGTCCTCACCGTCGAAGAGAGAGTCAATCTCGACGGTGGTCTGGGTGGCGTTGGAGAGAGTACGCTTAGCACGCTCGCAAGCAGTGCGGAGACGACGGAGAGCACGGGCATCACCGGACATGTCCTTTCCAGTCTTGCGCTGGAACTCCTTCTTGAAGTGCTCAAGGAGGTTAGTATCGAAATCCTGACCACCAAGGTGAGTATCACCAGCGGTAGCCTTGACAGTGAAGACACCACCCTGGATGTTCAGCAGGGAAACATCGAAGGTACCACCACCGAGATCGTAGATGAGGACGTTGCGCTCCTTCTCGGACTTTCCAGCACCGAGACCGTAGGCAATAGCGGCAGCAGTAGGCTCGTTAATGATACGGAGAACGTTGAGGCCAGCGATGGCACCAGCATCCTTGGTAGCCTGACGCTGGTTGTCGTTGAAGTAGGCGGGCACAGTGATGACAGCCTTCTCAACCTTCTTGCCGAGCTTGATCTCAGCAACCTCCTTCATCTGTTTCAAGTAGTCAGCAAACAAATCCCACAAATACCAATATTAAATATGTATTTTATCATACCTTCATGAGGACCATGGAGGAGATCTCCTGGGGGGAGAAGACCTTGGTCTCGTTAAGGTACTCGACCTGGACAACGGGGTTGCCACCCTGGTCGATGACCTTGAAGGGCCAGGACTCAACATCCTTCTTGACAATGGGGTCCTCGAAGCGGCGACCGATGAGACGCCTATTCCATTTGAGTCAAAACTAATTTGAAATTGTGGAGAATGCGCATATCTCTAATTGATAAGCGCAAGAATTTTTCTAGAACTCACTTGATATCGAAGACGGTGTTGGCAGGGTTCATGGCGGCCTGGTTCTTGGCGGCATCACCAATCAGACGCTCCTTGTCGGTGAAAGAGACGAAGGAGGGGGTAGTGTAACTACCCTGGTCGTTGGCAACTGATTAAACAGTCAGTATTTGAGAGAGAAAGATCGAATTTTGGGGAATTGCGTACTGATCTCAACATTGGTACCCTCGTAGTTGGCAACGCAAGAGTAGGTGGTACCTAAACAATAAAAAAAAAAGAGGCAATTAGCAACTGTGCGATCGAATTTAGTAGAGTTAGGACACACCAAGATCGATACCGACGGCACCGTCGTAAACCTCAGAATCGGCCATTGTGAATTTGGATATGTGATTTTGAGGAGGAATGGGAAGAGGGATGGTGGGGGAGAGAGGAAATTTTTTTTTATCAAGCCGAGTGCATATTTAGTCGGAGCCACAAAAAAAAACCAGAAAATTTTTAGCGGTGAGTCACGTGGTTCCGGTTATTATCTAAACGGTGTATATTACATACTACATACATCTTTACTACGTAGAGATGTACCTTTTTGGAGATGCACATGTTATTTCCTATGTATTCCGATGTACTCTCTCACAAATTATATATGGTCGTCACGTCAAAAAGGTACAAAATTGTACAATTCACTAGCTTTATTACCCATTTTGTACTCCGTATATGTACTCCATACTCCCCCATATGTCAATCAATATCCATTGGATCGTATAAATCCTCCTTCTCCGTAACCTTGTTCTCTCTAGCTCGTGCTCGACATTCAAGAATTGCCTTTCGAACGTTGTCTTTTTCCTTGGGAACCGTGAGGGAAACTGGTTCCGTATAAAGAACGAGTTCTTTTCCCGATTTCGAGTCGGTTAGAACGGATTGAGGGACTGAGAGCACTTTCTTTGCAAATGGTGAAAAGATCAAACCAGGAGAGTCGTCTTCGATTAATTCTTGGTCCAAGTTGTGGATGTAAGTCGTATGCTTGGTGTCATCCAAGAGCATTGGTTCGGGGGAAGGAGGTCTCTGGTTAAATTGGGTTTGAAGATGGTCAATGTCAGGTTGGTTATGCTGGTTATGGATATGCTGAATATGCCCCTTGGATTGGGCCCGAGCGGAGATTGGCAGGCTATTATCTAGAGAAATATGTTAACTTAACAACTTCACACACTTCCAAGTTCAACCTACCTAGTCGTAGGCCTCCAAATCTCTTCGTTAACGGTTGCGCGACATCGGGGTCATCTGGGGCCGGGCGCTTCTTCCCGAGACCTCCCTCACCCGTCATCTCCTCTCTCTCTCCCTCTCTTTCAAGTATTTGAAAGTGTGTGATAATAAAAAAATAAGTGGTTGAATTCCTCTCCGTGCACTGGGGTCAAGTTCAATTCGTTGCTCGATGCGGGTTTCTGGGGTGGTGACGAACGGGGAACGGGCCTTGACTCATCTCTTTCGCAGAAATCAACCTAGACCCTTTTATCCTCGTTTTGTTCACTCCCAGTCAACCAACCCTCCCAAATTTGACAGGATGACTTCTCTCGGTTCGGAATGGACCGCTCAGCGAGTCCGAGATACCTTTTTAGATTATTTTAAACAAAATGGCCACACATTTGGTGCGTTAAGCCCATTCTCTTTTTTTTTTGCGCTACCCCTCCACCCCCGCCAACGACATGAACTGACTTGAACTTATTCTTGGATACAGTCCCTTCTTCCCCCGTCGCTCCTCTGTCGGATCCGACTCTTCTTTTCACCAATGCGGGAATGAACCAGTTCAAGTCCATCTTTCTGGGCACCGTTGACGCCTCGTCGGAGTTTGGAAAGATGAAGCGCGCAACTAATTCGCAAAAGGTATCGGATATTAACTACCACCAGAATTATCTGCCTTGGAACTGTTGCTAATACAATTGGATAGTGCCTCCGTGCCGGTGGAAAACATAACGTGGGTGTGCCTTTGTAAACCCCAAGAGGGATTCGTTTTGGAAGGGCTTTAGTACACTGACTGACCTGAAACAGGATCTGGATGATGTCGGCAAGGACAGCTATCACCATGTCAGTATTGAATTCCCTTTCTATCATTAGAAGAAGTGCTGACGAAGTCTTTAGACCTTTTTCGAGATGCTCGGCAACTGGAGTTTCGGCGACTACTTCAAGAAGGAAGCTATCACATATTCGTGGACCCTGTTGACGGAAGTCTACGGCCTAGACCCCGATCGCCTCTATGTTACATACTTCGAGGGTAACGAAGCCGGTGGATTGGAACCTGATCTAGAAGCCAAGGAACTATGGAAGTCGGTGGGCGTTCCTGAAGATCACATTCTCCCCGGAAATATGAAAGACAATTTCTGGGAAATGGGTGACCAAGGCCCATGTGGACCTTGCAGTGAAGTGCACTATGATCGGATTGGTGGGCGCAACGCTGCTCACCTCGTCAATGAGGATGACCCAAATGTGCTGGAAATCTGGAACAACGTTTTCATCCAATATAACCGCGAGCCGGATAGCTCCCTGCGATCCCTTCCCAACAAACACGTTGACACCGGAATGGGCTTCGAAAGACTAGTGTCGATTCTCCAGGACAAATCTTCCAACTACGATACCGATGTGTTCACTCCGATCTTCCAGGCTATCCAGGATACCACTGGCGCCCGGGAATACCGCGGCCACTTTGGCGCCGATGATGTCGATGGTATTGACACCGCTTACCGTGTTATTGCAGACCACGTGCGGACTTTGATGTTCGCTATCTCCGATGGTGTTATTCCCAACAACGAGGGCCGTGGCTATGTTATTCGTCGTGTCCTGCGCCGGGGAGCTCGGTATGCCCGGAAATATTTCCAGGTCGATATCGGGAATTTCTTTGCTAAGCTGGTGCCGACTGTTGTGGATCAATTGGGTGATATGTTCCCTGAACTCAAGCGCAAGCAACAAGATGTCATCGAGATCTTGGACGAGGAAGAGTTGTCATTCGCCAAGACTTTGGATAGAGGTGAACGGCAATTCGAGCAATACGCCCAACAGGCCAAGGTTAAGGGGACCGATATGCTCCACGGTGCCGATGTTTGGAGGCTATACGACACTTTCGGCTTCCCTGTTGACCTAACCCGGATCATGGCCGAGGAACGTGGGCTTCGCATTGACGATGTCGAGTTTGAAGAGGCTCGCTTGAAGGCGAAGGAAGCTAGCAAGGGTCAGAAGAAGGCTGCTGGAGAGACGGTCAAGCTTGATGTCCACGACCTCGGCAAACTGGAGAAAATGAACGACGTGCAAAAAACGGATGATTCACCCAAATTTGGCCGTGGTAACATCACTTCTTGCGTCAAAGCTATCTACCATGGGAAGACTTTCCATAAGAGCACTGACGATATTCCCGAGGGAGCACAGCTTGGTGTCATTCTCGACTGTACGAACTTCTATGCCGAACAGGGTGGCCAGGAAAATGATACAGGTAAAATCGTCATCGATGGACAAGCGGAGCTTGAAGTTGGTGATGTACAGTCTTATGCTGGATATGTTCTCCACACCGGCTTCATGAAATACGGATCGTTTGTTGTCGGTGATTCTGTCATTTGCGAGTATGATGAACTCCGCCGCTGGCCCATTCGCAATAACCACACCGGAACCCATATCCTGAATTTCGCTCTGAAGGAAATCCTAGGCGATGGTGTTGACCAGAAGGGTTCTCTCGTGGCCGCCGAGAAGCTTCGATTTGATTTCTCCCACAAGAGTGCAATCTCTGACGCCGAGCTCGAGAAGATCGAAGCCAAATCGACTGAATATATCCGACAGAACTGTACTGTTTACTCCAAAGATCTTCCGCTCGCCACTGCCCAGCAAATTACAGGTGTCCGGGCCGTATTTGGCGAGACCTACCCCGATCCCGTTCGTGTCGTCTCTGTCGGTGTGGAGTTGGAGGAAATCCTGCAAAATGTCAAGGATCCCCGCTGGAAGGAAGTCAGCATTGAGTTCTGCGGTGGAACTCATGTCCAGAAGACAGGCGATATCAAGGATTTGATCATCCTGGAAGAGAGTGGCATTGCCAAGGGAATTCGCCGAATTATTGCTGTCACTGGAGAGGATGCACATGCGGTGCAGAGAGTTGCCGAGGAATTCGGACAGCGCCTGGATCAGCTGGATGCATTGCCTTTGGGCTCCAAAAAGGAGCAGGAGGCTAAGCAAGTCCAGGTGGATCTCAACCAGCTTGCAATCTCCGCTGTCGTTAAGGCCAAGTTCCGCGAACGTTTCGCCAAGATCAATAAGCAGGTCCTCGATGGCCAAAAGGCCCAACAAAAACTGGAATCGAAGAAAGCACTCGACACTATCAATGCTTACTTCGAGGCTCCTGAAAACCAAGACAAGTCATGGCTTGTAGTCGAGCTTCCGATTTCTGCCAATGCCAAGGCTGTCAGTGAATCCCTCAATCACGTCAAATCAAAGATGCAGGACAAGAGTGTCTATGTTTTGGCAGCCGACTCTGAACAAGGTCGTGTTTCACACGGATGTTACATCTCTAAGGTGAGTAACAGGACCCATCGGTCTTATCCCTCTTGGATTTGGGGAAAGCAATTAAATATCATTGGAATTTATACTAAATTTGACATAGGGTCTGAGTGAACAAGGTGCTTCCGCAAGCGACTGGGCAGCTGTCGTCTCTGGTGCCGTGGGAGGAAAGGCCGGAGGAAAGGGCCCTACTTCCATTGGTAATGGTACCAATGCTGACAAGGTGGAGGAGGCTATCTCACTGGCCGCGGACTACTTGAATAAGTTCAAGCTCTAAACCTAAAAGCAAGGTTCTGTGAATACTTTTTTTTCGTTCGGGGAAGATATCACGTCTGTGCCAACCACCATGAAATATCCATAAAAAAAAAGGTACTAGGTACTAAAGCCATATTAAATTGATATGTTTCCATGATTCAATGTCATTTCCTGCAATTCTGGGAAGTAGAGTCGTAGGGCTGTTTGCCAAATATCAACACTTTTGTGTTTACATCTCTCCACATTGCACAATCGTTACGTCTTGGTTGGGCTTATCCTTAGTGGTACGGGTGTGTTCAAGCATTTTGACGATATCCATCCCATCAATCACCTGACCGAAGACCACATGCTTGTTGTTCAAGAATGGCGTGGCCGTGGTTGTTATAAAAAATTGACAACCATTGGTGTCTGGGCCCGAATTCTGTTGTTGTCAGTGAAGAGCCCTTTTCTGGTATGGATAGATATGGTTCACACTTACAGCCATACTTAATAAACCGGGACGGTCATGTGTGAGACTAAAATTTTCATCGGCGAATTTCGAGGTGCCGTAGATGGTACATGACCCAGTTCCATCGCCATTAATGAAATCTCCACCCTGGATCATGAAATCTTTGATCTGGAGCGAGCATTAGTTCCACGTCGATATCCAAGAAGCTTTCTTACATACCACTCGATGGAATTTGCTTCCCTTGTAGCCCTGAGGCTGTCCCTTGGCGTTCTTGCTCTCGCCAGTGCAAAATTGGCGGAAATTCTCAGCAGTTCGGGGAGTGACATTGGCAAACAGCTCCATTTTCACTCGACCCAGAGACTCACCTGTATGCGATTATATTAGCAGAGTTCGTCAAATAGCTCAGATGGCTAGGCCATCCGAGCATATCAAATTGACTTACCCCCAAGGGCGATATCGAAGAAAACCACAGGATTAGGTTGGGCCATATTGAGTGGGGATTAAAGATGTGAAGAAGGAAGTTTGCATATCTGATGTCCCTCGCAGATGAACCAGGGGCGGCAGGTACGGAGCGGTGTAGCGGCCATGTGACCTTTTATAGAATATAAGATATTCTGAAAGAAAACAAAACATATATTTTCGGAATGATAAGAAGGATAGAATTGGGAGAATGTAGATAGTGAAAAAAAAGTGTAAAATGTGCAAACCTTTCTATATATAATATGTGATGTATGGTGTGCAGTAGTTATATCAGCTTGAATTCAGTCTTTTTCAAAACTTTAAGAATTTTTAAGAAATACTATGTACAGATTTAATAGTAAACCGATGCTCCGTACAGATTTCATACATAAAATTCGCAATACATCTGAGGCTATTGTTAACAAATGGGGTTAATGCACTATGTGTGGAGTATGGAATAAAGTACCTCTACATATATTGGTCAATAAAGGGAAAGTGGCAAGGTCAAAATCAAGTGGCAAGGTATATATTTCTAAGATTACAGTAGAATAATTGAACTTATATGTACTCAGTATGTACGATTAAAGCCGGATATGCAATAAATATGCAATACACTATAATTTATTTCAAATAGAAGAAATAGAAAAAAAGGGGTGTCTCATCCCCTTCTTCTGCATTTAGAAGTACATGTACCTCTCTTAGCTCTAGATCCTTGTCAATCTGAGGTATCTGAGACCTAGTCCCGTGATTCCCAGCCTGAGGTGTCGGTTTGGTCCCGCATGCATCCTTAAATCAACCAAGAGCCTGGCTCCATCCTGCCCTGATCCACTTTCTCTCTTTATCTCTTTTTGCCTCACACACCCAAGGCTTTTCTATAATGATATGAAATCGACTCTGGGCATTCGCATTATCTTTGTAGGAAGTTCTGTGTGTTCTACTTACGCTCGATCCATGACAGACCATCAAGTTTAATCTTCCGTCTATCCTGTCGCATGGGAAACATACCCTTGGATTGTCCCTATTCACCTTCTCGCCGTCTTCGACTCAATCCGCTGGAGTATACCCCCCGAAATCTATATACAGGGCCACCCTGTACACACAACTCGAGGCATGAAGGATCAACCTCGGGGCAACTGAGACTCCAATAATCAAGTGGCCACGTTCCGAGTGGGATCGGTGCCGCCATTTTCATATCGAACTTTGACTCGGAATGTCTTCAACACCGACCTCGGTCTCTAGCAGTGCTGCAAACACACCTGCCAGTAGCGGTGGAGAAGGTTCGGGTTCAAATAATGCTACAAGCTCACCTTTATTGTTCTTCGTTGCTCTTGGGTTTGGTGTTGTATTCACAAATTTATGGTATGTCGCTTCATGTTGCCTGTTTGGACTAGCAGGTTAGCCTTCTAGCGCTTGGTGATAACGTCTGACGGTCGTCGCAGGATCATTGTTGGAGTGAAATATTGCTTTCGATATAACCAACGAAACCGTCAGCTCCGCAGCGAGGAAGCAGGAGAGCCCATTGACTTGGTCGCTATGCCGCGAGCTCATCGCAGGAGGAGGGAGAAGAAGTTGATGACGATGGATGAAGTCAACGGGCGGTTTCCACTCGTCAAATACAAAGTGTGGAGATCATCTCGTGCCAACCAGGGTCTTTCAACAGAAGGTGGTATAACAACCCCGAATAGCAGACCACAGAGCCTAAAGGATGAAAGTGGTATCGTAACAACAGCGGTTGGGGTTGAGACAGCAGCAATACCACCATCCACCAAGGGTCATGAACGAGTGGTTTCCAATGATACATCACAAATTCCCATTCAGGAGCTACACGCTGCCCCTCCAGTGCCAGCTGTGGAGTATTTTGGCCCTTCAGTATCCGGAATGCCTTCTAGTCAGCAATGCACTGATTCAGGTAGCCAGCAAGAGAAATGGCATCCTTTGACCAACGAAAACATGAACATTGATCTTGAAGACCATGATGATGGTGATGCCTACATTCGTAACGCTGTTCCTGCTGATCTTCTGCCCAACCCTGGTGATTCTTGCGCAATTTGCCTAGACATCATTGAGGACGATGATGATATCCGGGGACTTACATGTGGACATGCTTTCCATGCTTCATGCGTCGACCCCTGGCTGACTAGCAGAAGGGCATGTTGCCCGCTGTGCAAGGCCGATTACTATGTCCCCAAACCCCGTCCACAGACTGAAGCACAGCCTGCCACAGATCGCCAGGGTCGTCATACAGATTCAACTGGCGCGGATGAAATCACCAGACCTCCTCGTGCTTGGAATAGTGGCAGGGCAAATGGGTGGGTTCAATTGGGCTTCTCTAGCCGAATATTTCAACAGACATCTCCAGAGGAAAGAGACGCTCCAGCCCGAGAACAACATGTACGGGATGGGCGTGATCAGCCTTTGAACTCAGCCCATGCCTCGCATCCCTCGGGTCAATCTACCTGGTCTCGATTGATTCCTACTCGCCTCCGACGGCTTTCCTTCCACTCTTCGCCAAGAAGACTGCATACACCACCTGAAGATGGGACTTCTCCTGATCCTTTACCTTCAGAAGGACGCACACCTCGTCAAGTCGAAGCTGGTACCACATGACAGAACTTTGACTACTATTCTTTTCATACCCGTTTACCATTTGGCTAATCCGCACAATCCCTTTCATACCTGAACCACATCTGGAATGCTGGCTGGAGTTTTATTTTCCTTGTTTATGATTGAGATGTGTAATTTATCATTTTTTGCGTGGCTTGGACTGGGGCGCATATGGATCATGAGGCCCCCTTTTTCCTTTCGGTTGGATATTTATGAATTGACTTGGTCTTCCTATTTCATGTTATGAGGAACTTTGTCCTATGGTGCTACTGACAGCCACTGTTGCTCCCCCCATTCTTGCTCCATTTAGCGGGCTGAATGGATTGTGCGCTGGCCGAACATCTATATATATTTTGATGTGCAACACCAGAGTATATATAGAGTACTGTTTTGTACATGCTATACAACATATTCTTTAATAACGTGCCCCCGAGAATATGTAGTTTGCGCCACCTTACATGCATGTACTGCTATTCAGAACATTCCAACCAAGGAAGTGTCCCCTTGGTGTAGTGTAGGGAGGGAGTAATCAGAAACAAAACAAAACGAAATTTCCTTATACATAGTAGGTTGAGGGATCATTTGAGGTAAATAACATGGAGCCCTTCAGGGTTGACCCCCTAGAAAGACGGCAGAAGAAAAATAAAACACCCCTTAACACCCACACAGCTTTCCAATTGCTCACATCTGAGACTTAGGACCTCCTACACCAGCACTGATGACACTGGGTAGCTCCTGTGAGCCCATGCTGAAAAGCATTCCAATCGCACTACCAACGAGAATGATAGCAAGCACACTGACGCCTGCGACAAGGAAGAAAGGTGAGCTGATGTCTCTCTTCTGGCAAGCCGCCCCACCCCACTGAACTGTCTTTTTGCTGCCGTCGCTATTCTGAACAACAGTTTGCTTGCATTTGCATGCATAGCAATTGCCTGCAGTTGCATCAGAACCAGAGCCGTATTTCAGGTAGCAGGAACCGTGTCCGGAACAGTCATTGGTAGCCTCGGCACACGAGGAGTTTGAAGAATGGCAGACAGGCGCTAGAGTTGAGTGCAGCGGGAGCGCAGAATTCGGGGTGGATCTCTTGAAGGCATTGTGTTCGGCAGTGACTGGTACCGATGATCGCTTCGCGATCCGCGGGCTGAGTCCTCCTGATTTAATACCGGGGGGTAGAACGATGGTAGTGATTTCCCGGTTGCTGGTCGTTGATATTTCGGCTAGGTGAAGAAGCAATGCCTCAAGGGGCTTGGTGGAATCACCAGAGACTTTCTGCAATTGGTAATGCGGAATTAGAGATCATTCACTCGCTAGGAAGGGAAACTCGGTACCTTAAAGGACAACTTCAAAGCTGAATCCTTGTGATCCTTGCTGATCCAAGATTCCACTGAATTAACCAGTGCAAGGAAGTCCCGGGCAAGCAAATCAGACTCATCGGCCAACATGGGGTCCTTGGATAGACATTCTTTGGGAGTCTTGTATCATTGGAAGATTAGCGATGGGGCCTGGAGATCATGAAAAGCCGGCTATCTTACCTGGGATGTGGATGATGTAGCCCTGCTAGCGTCGTTGAAGTATGTACAGGATTGTCCGCGGTTCTCTTTCGCAGTGGGGCTGCTTTCGATAAATGATTCCAGGAGATCAGATCCGATAAATGACGAAGAAATTTGAGGAATACGAAGGTAGCTTGGTTGGACTTTTTGCATGGCTAGGGCTGTAGGGACATTAGCTAAAGCTTCCAGTCAAGTGCAAGTCGCCTTCACTTACCAGCTTCCTGGTCGATCCCTTCCAAAATAAATATGCTCTTCTTGGGAGCAACCCCCTTAGCTCCCCCAAATAGAGTGAAGTCATCTTGAGCAAATTGATTCAAGTGATTCACAGTGTCTGCATTCACAGTTCCAAGGACCGATGCCACAGAGGACTTCATGCGAAGCTCCAAGACAAGCTGGGCCTCATCTTCTGATATTGTTTGTTGTTGGGAATTAATAGTTGAAGAGGTTACAGCCTTGGAAGGAAACGTGAAGATCGTAGCATCTAGTGCAGTTGCTTGCAATGCACCTGTTAAGCCCAGGGCAAGGAAGGCGGACAACCAGCGCATGTTTGTAGAATCAGGAGGGCGGGAGGTAAGGCAAGACTATTTTGGCAGACGTGGCAATGCCCACATCAAGATTCTCCTCTCGCGGTATCTAGAGTTTGGTTGGGGACGACGGCGAGGAGTCGAGGACAGAATACCACTTGGTTACGGACGACTTGGGGGATGTCCGATAAGATATCACAAAGATATCACGTGGTTTACGTGGCTCGGACAGTACAAACAGCTTTCACAAATATATGTATTACCTGTAGAGGTCTGAATATTCATGTGATCAATTTCTAGCCCAAGATTATTATTTATTCTAGGAGATCCACACATAGGTACCTATGTATGTAGAAGTATAAGTATATCTGCCATGTAACTACTTAGGCCGCTCCCCCGGGCTCGGCCTCCAGGCCCGTACGTTACATAATCGACCAAAACGCCGAGCCCGTCGCTGTCGACAAACTCGCAACACAGATCCTCGTGCATATCAGGCTTCAAGGATTCTGTCCATTCATTTTTTCAATTTGAGATGATACTCTAGGGAGAATCATTGCAGGGATTGGCTTTTCCCAATGCTCCGGCTCAGGTATCTGCTTCGAAGTCCTCTCGCGCGCTCGTCTCTCTTCAGGCCTACACATGCTCGTCCCAATTTCTCAAAATCCAAAAATGTGCGGCATGTAAGATTTAGGCGGCCTTGGATCAGGTAAGGAACACCAACTGTACCCAACTCGAGATCTCTTTTGTCAGACTGACGCAGAATCCCTCAGGTCCTTCATATCCAAATGTCTTCTGTACGGGACCGCCTTCCATCTATGGAGCACCTTCGTGCTGGTACGATTTAATGACGATACGGACGACGATGATCTACCTCCTGTGACCAAATCCGGGGAGACAGCCTCGGGCCAAACCTCGAGAAGCGGAAACATCACCGGGAAAAAGGTCGAAAACGAGGGTGTGTTCATACCGCTTTCCTGGTCTCAGTTGGAAGAAGGCCCCCTATACACTCCATCAGATCCAGAGTGGCACGAATTTGCGAAGTTGTCGGAGGACCGGGATAAGCTTCAGAAGATTAGGGGTGAGAAATCGACTCGATCCCCATTCACGATTATTCTCTTACGAGTATAGATGAACTCGCCGACATCGTCTTACATAGTGCGGGCAGCGAGATAGCACATATGCTCGGGGAGCCCCTCTCCCTAACGGGATTCTGGCTTGTCCACCAGTTTCCAAACCGTGCCCCTCCTGGATATGTGCGATCAGGGTATCACTCCTAATCCCCCAACGCTTTGTTCTTATACTGACAGTAGGCAGCTTGGAGATTAAAGATGGCAATATATCATGGGTGACAAAGCCGATGGACCCTGATATAGGTGACAGGTTACAGTTCTTCATGAAACCGGTTCATGTTGCTCTAGCAATCAGAGATGCGTATCTGGTACTATTTTTAAGGCAAATGGAGCGTTTCAGGAACCCCGAAGGGGGGTCGCTGGGTGGATTTGATCTCCTGAATGATTCTTCTACTGCGCCTGGTGACGAAAGAGGGAACTGGATTGGCCAGAACGATCAGTCTAAGCTACAACCACCTTTGTCCGACGGGCTCAAGGAAAACGTGCCGCCTAACACCGAAAATACTAACTACCACCCGTCCTCCGTCATATCTTTATTACAGCGGCTACCGTTACCAGACCTCGGCCCGGGGTCGGAACTGCACTTGGCATCACAGGCATTCAAATTACGATTGAACCATGAAGAGGCCCTAACACTAAAATCTGCTCGTCGCGGAGCGTTCTTTGTCGGGGGCCCAGTTGGGTTGAAGGGGCCTAATGGGTTTTGTCGATTTGAAGTGCGAGGCGAGTATAATCCAGCCAACCGTGAATGGCGAGTAGTGGAAATATCGCTAAAGGATCTGAACATGAAGAGACAGAGGGCATTGGGAAGTTGATCACATATACCCGGGACTTTCAAGGGTCTTCATCTCAAAAGCCCAAAACATATCGGCTCCCTTCAGGTTCATGGGGAATGCGTGTTGAACTCGAAGCCCTTTCATCTTGCCCTTTGTATGAACACCATGTAAATACATATTTTCCGCGGTTATTTAAGGAATCAACACACACTTTCGAGGCCACTTCTAGATCTATGCATAAGCCATGGCCAGCCAGTAGGGCTATTAATCCTTTGTATTTTACCAACTCAATAGCAACACTTGAGGCTCTTTCGGTGTAATGAATTAGACAAAAACCATACCTACATATTGAAAGTTCTAGAGGAACGGAAGAATTTGCTTAATGTTTTTTTCTAAAAAAAAAAAGAAATATCCGAGGCGACTAAAGCTGAGGACCAAATGACACCAAGTGCATGGCCCAGACATCCATTTATCTGTGCGCCCCTTTGCAAATACTTAGATACTTGTCTCTTTATTTTCCCTCTGACATCGGCTAGAGGCACCCAGCAAAGGTCCATGTCTCGCCCACAGTATTTCTCAATGGAAGATAACTTGACTGGTATGATTTTCCATGCTCAGACCAAGTTCAGAGAGTGGAGAAGCGCGGCATCGGTAGCAGCTCCACAGTCCAGTAGAGAGAATAACCGACCAAAAGCTCGATTCGATAGTCACGCTAGAGCAGGCGTCCGTGACAAGACAGATGTTGGTCTTCCGTATGGCATAATAGAGAGAGGGCGTGGCCCCGGGGTCTAGCGTGTCAATGAAATGGCAGGCAAGGAGAAAATGAAACTTGAACTCATTCCAGGACTTCGATTATGAAGCTTTTGTGGACGCTAATGAGCAATATTGTGAACGTGTGTGCCTAACGACCATAAAGCAATGTCTTCTCAACTGCTCATATTTCCAAGCACAACACCGCCGATCAGATCAATGACTAACTTATTGTTGCAGTGGGGGTTGGTAGTTTAGAGGGCGCCTAAAGATGGTTAGTGATACAGCCAAGGGAACAGTCCGCCAATAACATACTTGAACAACAAGATATGAGGTTCAGGCTCATGCACCTCGTAATGCTCCCATCCCAAGCTCTGCGCATACATTGTTAAAACCCATGCACATCCTCGAATAATGTCCAACATACTTGTGTAATTCCCAGAGCTCGCCATTCCTCCTCCCACAGCAATTTCAGAGTTCCCTTTGCGCTGTCGAAGTAGTCTGCGGGGATCTTTTTGAGCATGTTCTTCGGGAGCTGCACATGGCGGTATTCGAATTTGTCGTCGTTGTATCTATATGGAGGGGTCAATGGAGATTCTACCACAATGTTGTGGGGCCCTCACCTTGCGGAGTAGTGGATAGAGTCCACAAATTCATCAAGTTTCTCGCGCTCCGTCTCTAAGAGGAGACGGGGCTTCTTGTTGCGCCTAATTGGGTCGATGTCCATTGTGATAGCGGAACGAGAAGAAAAGACCATATGAATATCTCCTGAATATGTCGAGCGTCAGATCAGTTTGTTCGATGTGTTCAAGCAACAGGGACCAGTAAATAAGTAGCTTGAGGATGCGCCTCACAATGTGGCTGAGTGACTATCGCATGTAGGGACAACGAAAACGTACGGTCACAGGGCTCTGATAAGGGCCCTAGGTTTGTGTAAGATAATCTGATATTGAGGAATCAAAGTACCTGAGGATGAGTTACCAGATGAGAGTGTGATGCGATAGAGAAAAGAGGTGCGAGTTGTAGAAACAACAATCACCGGGACTTGTTTTGCGGGACTCGGGAAAATAGTGGGGGGAAACAACCACTTTGTGTGCCTCAGGTGTCGACCCAATCTGCTCGAAGCACGTGATAATAATTGAGACATGCAGTATGGTAAGTAATGGTAATTATAAAGTTATAAAACATAAATTTACACATACCCACAGTTACCTTACATTCAAAACTTGAATGTTTGTTGATACCTGTAATGGCAGATACCATCCGGTACACATCGGTATCTATAATACGTCAATGAATACAACATGGATACCCCCGGGGCCACCTTACCTAAGGCGGGATGGCTCTGCCGACGCGTCTGCAACACGTCTGAGACGAGGAATGTCTATGCGCATATCTCCCTTTGCCATACTCTATCACTACTTGTAATTCTTTCAATCAATTTGGCTCTTTATTAAATCTGTATATCCACCCTTCCTGTGGTGTTCAGGCACGGATTATTATCTTCAATGTGTGACTTGACTTGCGACTCGGAACGTTATCAGAAGTAATCCGAGATGACCTCAAAACGACGAGCGGCTGTCGCAGCTTCCCCAGACATGAAGTTTCGTAGAACGAAACGCCGAAAGGTATCCGTAAGTATCAGACTCTTGAAGGGCAATCGCGACGTTGTGGCTATAGCAGTTGCGCCTGCCCTGTTCGAATGTCTATTTACTATCCTACATTGGTTCTTTGCGCATATAGATCAGATCGCATGTTTCAATTGCTAATTTAACCTGCGTTGCGTCTAATAGGACGATGATATCATTCCCGAAGAATCTAATCGTGCGTCGTCGCATCTGGACTCAGAGCCACCAGAGGAAGCCGATCAAACCCCGGAGTCGCAGGCCGAGTCCGAGGCAGAAGCAGATTTTGAAGGTGATAGTCTTCAGACTGCGCAGGACAAGATCATGTCCGAGTTGACCCGGCTCAAGGATGCTGAGTAACTATCACCGATTCCGATCTTTTGCTCAAGGCTGATAACCGAACTAGTGGCGAGGATGTTTCTTACCCGTTCATTGGCAAACCAGACCGGAATCTCTACCGGGATTATTATGAGATCATTCAGCATCCTGTGTCCTTACGGAGCATACAAAAGAGAGTTCGTGGTACAGACAGCAGGAAGAATTCATCCAGAACCACCGCATATCCGACATGGCAGTCTTTCGAAGAGGAGGTCAGCTATGTATGGCGAAATGCCAGAGAGTACAACGAAGATGACAGCGAAATTGCTATTCTCGCGGGCGTTTTGGAGGTGAGCTTATACCACCACGCTCTTGCTATTCGTTCGTTCCCTGCGGCATACTAATATTGGAGGACTAGGATCACTTCCACCGACGGGTTGCGGAAGCCAAAAAGCTTGTTCCGGATCCCATTCAGGTAGATGGAACCCCTGAGATGCCTCGCATCAAATTGAAATTGGGCACACCTGTGCCCCCAACGGCGCAGAGGTTAACATTGAAAATGCCTGGGCAGAGCTCCGATACACTATCCAAGGACGATGGAAAACCTTCAGATGTCGCATTCAAGAACGAATCCCAGGGCCATAAGCAAGATATTGCCGGAGCCGGATTAGCAGGCCAAGAAATCAGTCGATCTCCTCGAGGATGGTCTCGTGGAAGGCAACTTGACAGTCCCAGGTCAAGCACGGCCACGCCATCTGGCTCAGAGCAACAACAGAACGGTTCCATGAGTGCGCAAGGCTTACCGGTAACAAACGCAACCGCCCTGGCAATGTCCACTTCGCAAAATCACCCCAATGCGTCTTTTGATGTCCCTTCGGATGTCACCCGGCATTCATCTTTGGCTTCTGGTAAGTTACAATTAGTAGATATTTTGTCGTCTGACAAAAGTATTGTTCGGCTCTCGGCCTTTGCTGACCCCCTTTAAGCCTACCAGCCGCAGTTTAGCTCATCGCCAATGGATTCGCTTCTAAGGCGACCAGACCAAGGTTTGACTCTCATCGCGATTGACGGGACTTCCAGCTAACTATGAGCCAGACCCAAAGATGGCTCTGATTCGCAATGTTCAGATTCTTACACATCCCTCTTTGTCGTTGCAACCCGACTTCTGCCTAGATATCCCGCCTTCTTCGCTTCTTTCGCAACAGAATATCACAATTCATCTTCCTCCGTCGCACAATATACTGACAGTTAGGCCCCGTTTAGCGCCTAGTACTTCCCAGCGACAGATAAAAATCGTTGCGCTCATGGGTATGCAGCGTTTACATTCATCCGGCGATGCAACTACACTTTCATATGATATCCACCTGCACCCTGGCATGACGAAGGTTGATTTGGAAGCTATTGCTGGCCCAGCCAGAGGAGTTCCGAAATCTGGGCCCCCTGGATCAGATGTGGATTACGAGCGAGTCACTCTATTTTTTAATCTGCTACGTTAACAGTCATGTCAAATAATTAGTGTTTGTTCGATTAAGGCGTGGTGATATGTATAGTGAAATTTATCAAATTTTTGGGGATGATGCCGTATTTCTACTAATATGTATCAATGATTTATTACTAACTAGAGGACTTTCGCATATAGATCGAATAGGCTCATGTCTTTTTGATTAATAAAGATATATGTACATAGGATTAAACGCTATAACGTGGATATTATCGAGTTTATAGTAGAGCCTAAGCATGTGGTCTCTAGTACGGTCAAATTGATAAGAATGAGCAGGAATTAGTAGGAATTATTCCTTGGATTTTGTGACAGCCGGGATAGGTAGGCCTTGGTATTCTCGTATACCAGGAAGGTCACCCATGTGCTTGGAAGTACCCGGAACAGATTTGGACCAAGACCCTTGTAGAAACCCCTGATCCCTTCTTGGGCCCATACCTGGGAAATGACATCAATGGGCCCACGGTATATCAGATGGGCCTGATAAGTTTGCAACCGGGACCTAATTACTTGGTAAGGATATGTCACACTGCCAGCGAAGACTTTTGATAGACCGGAAATGGCAAAAAAATCAACATTACCCAGCGCTCGTTCGGCGCCCAAATGACTGCTCTCACTTGAGCCGTTCATCGACCGGAGTCTAAGAAGCTTCAACTGCTCGTATGCCATAAACTGAAGGGCACCATGACTGACGCCAAATAGGGCTGGTATGAGACCTCGGTAGAAGCCACGTATCCCTTCGCCTTGGTATATTTGTTTTGCCCCAGATGCAAATGAAGAATACGCCCCTGGGACATGGGAACCTGTCGATAACATGCGAGTTTTGATCACCCAGATTGGATTGGTGAGGACCGACGTAATAACGCCTATGGAAATCCACAGGTTAACTGAGGAACAGAGGAACGATGCTGAATTGGACATGATATGTGCATACCTGCACTGCCAGATGCGAGAAGATAATCAGACGATGTGAGAATCTGCTTCCTGTTCTCACGATGGTTTCGAATGGTATCCTTCAGGCTGCTGTAGCATAAGAAGTACAAACCCCAACTTGTGGAATTTCCGATAAGATTGGGGGTAAGTCCGCGGTAAAAAGCGGCATAGCCACCCTCATTATAGAAGATCTTGCGAATGACTCGCAGTGAGCCCCCAAATCGAGAAGATGATCGATCGACTACAGATACCAGAGCAAAGTTAGTTACTATATATACCACAGGGGGAACTAAACGGAGACTGAAGCTTGCCTTGTAGCCTTGTTTTAATCATGTCAAGAGGATGTAGCGACAGAGTTGACACAATTCCCGCTGTGAATCCCGCTACGGTCTCCACAAAGGATGTCGAGAAGCCATCTTGACCAGTCATGAACCTGCCTTCGAAAAAGATAGGAAGTTGAACACAGAGAAAGAAATGGAGGGAGAGGGTGTATGGTGAATGATATCAGAGATAAAGATAAAAAGGAAGACGAGATCGGGGATATCCCGAGAATCTCAGAACATGTGACCGCCGAGTAACTCCGTACAGACTGACTCTGTAGTAGAACACATTGGTATCCTGATTCTCTTTTCTCTTTTTATATAAAACTTAGTGTTTACTCCAAATTATTACAATGCTACGGCATTTCCGTACCAAAGACAAATATTCGGCCAAAGACTTAAAAATACAAAATCATCCAGCTTTCACAAGCTTCAAAAAGTGATATCCAGATATTCGAACCAACCATCCCTCACAGAGGGAATAATTGAAGGATCATTCAAGAATATACTGGGATATCTCCATCCCATCCACATATCCGGTATCGTTTCTCCAGTCAACGTGTAGTTTAGGCAAGAGGCGAGAACAATCTGGGTATCAAGTTAGTCACAACAGCTGGAATCCAGGGAGTTGAGAAGCGTACCTGAACAATGTTGGCTTGGGCTCGCTGTAGGTGTAGCCTGTTTTCTTTTTGTTAGCCTGTTGTGTTGAGAAAGCCAAAGGGGTATATACATACCCAGATAGACAATCAGAGGCAAGTATCCGCTAGATGGTTATCGCCGGTCAGCTCGGAGGATGATTTGAAGGTGCTATGAGGCTCACTAGTGAATCGCAACGCGGGAAATATCAATGACCTTCGAGACGCGCTCCTAAATAAATTAAAACATAGGGTTAGAAACCGGGTCTTAAGGAGGATGTGATCAGGCTTGCGACTAACCTTGGTCTCCTCGGAGAATTGAACCATTGTGAATTTATGAAGGTAAGGTTGGGGGTTTCAAGGAGAAGAATAATAAACTTGTAATTAATTCAAAGTCGATCCGGTTGAACAGTGGGAGATGTGGTTGATAGATGAAGTGGAAACGGGGAGGACGGAATCAAAAGTTTTCGGGGGAAGGTCACTGATCTCCCAGCTCCGGATTTCCTTCACTTCAACACCTTCACACCTCGTTACCTCTCCACTTCCCCTCAGTCTACTTCGTTGGACTTCTACCAACCCGACTCATCTAGCGATTGATTTACTTCGATCCTTTTGAGTCCTTTTCCTTTCGGGGGAGCTTTTCCCCCCCTCTCTTTCTCACTCTCTTTTTCACTTTCTCCAATTAATTCACCATGTCTAACGCAAGGCATTGGTAAGACCCTCTTTCCTTAGCACAAGGTCCCGATGCTAACTTAACTAGGGAACAAGACAAAGAGGCGACCGTGTACATCGGAAACCTCGATGAACGCGTCACAGACAGCCTGGTATGGGAACTGATGCTGCAGGCCGGGCGCATCGTCAACGTTCACCTGCCCAAAGACCGGGTCACGCAGTTGCACCAGGGATATGGATTTGTTGAGTTCATGACCGAGGAAGACGCGGAATATGCATCGAAGATCATGAATGGAATCCGTCTCTACGGCAAACCCATTCGTGTTAACAAGGCGTCGGCCGATAAGCAAAAGACTGTGGAAATTGGCGCAGAGCTGTTCGTGGGTAATCTTGATCCTATGGTTGCCGAGCAGGGTCTGTACGATACGTTCAGCCGCTTTGGAAACCTTGTCAGCCCGCCTAAAGTGAGATCTCCTCCTCCTAATACAAACAAGATGGACACCGTTAACAGCCCCTCAAAGATTGCGCGCGATGACAACAATCTCTCTAAAGGATATGGATTTGTTTCTTTTGCCGATTTCGAATCCTCGGACGCGGCCATTGCCAACATGAATGGCCAGTACCTGATGAACAAACAGGTTTCGGTACAGTATGCATACAAGAAGGATGGAAAGGGCGAGAGACATGGTGATGAAGCGGAGCGAATGTTGGCAGCTCAAGCTCGCAAGCATAATGTACAACTCCCGACCCAGCAACCTCCTCAGTTCCCTGGCGCTCCTCCTGGCGCACCAGCAACGCCTGCCATGTCCAACAGCGATATCTCTCGACCTATGAGCACAGCACCCGACCTAGGCATGAACCGGGGTTTGCCGCCAGCCATGCCCTACCAGAATGCACCCCCTCCAATGCCCTACCAGGCCGCTCCCCCTCCAAACCGACATGTCCCACCTCCCGTTCCTTCACTCACTACCCCACCTCCCGGGCTTCCAGCTCGACCTCCTCCTTCCCAAGCTGGCTACGGCGGCCCACAGGCCTTCTTGCCACCTGGATTCAATGGTGCAGGTCAACCGCCCTTCGTCCCACAAGCTGCAGCTCCCCCTGGGTTTGCGCCGCCGCCTGGATTTGGACCTCCCGCTGGGGCCCCTTCGATGCCACCCGGCTTCCAACAGCCCGGATATGGAGGAACTCGTTGATTTCAAGTTGCATTCGGCCCCGAGGGCCTCTCGCCTACCAAAAGTTATGCTCTTGACACTATGGAAGGTGGTAGTTTTTTTTCGATATGATTTGATGACCCAATGACCAAAGCGCTGGTCCATGTGTTTGATGCTCTCCTGGTTGTTTACCTCAAACATGTTTACGTGGGGGGTGGATCAAACTGTGCCTCGGCGCTAGCTGGCTATTGGCAGCGCTGGATGGTCATATGTAATTTAAGTGTCTACGTGACGCGGACAAAACAGACAGACTTGTTCTGATAACACATCAACTTAATAGGTTTCAATTGCCAAGGATTATTCATTCACAGATAAGAAATGCACTGTCAAAAGTGATAAATCGTAGTAACCCAAGAGCCCTGACAGCACAGACGAGATACTACTAGGTAAAATCCATGACCTCTACCTGTATGGATTATGCTAGCGAGATGGCCGCTCTGACAATCATTGGGTCAAGAAAACAAGCTAGGACTGCTGATATGGTTGTAGGTGAATCACGAAAACGAGACGAACTTGGGGTCCCTGGGCCGGCCGTCAGGTCCGATGTTATTCTTTGCGAATCGTTGCTCTGTGTAGATCCGTCGAGCTTCATCAAAGTTGACCTTTCGACTCTTCATGATCTTCTTCACTTCGGTCTTTGCTCGTTGATCCAAGCCAGCCCTCGAATCCCCATCAGCAAGATTTGCAGTAATGTCGAATTGTGACGAGCTCAGGCCAGCCTCCAGATCGGCAGTGAAACTTGAGGGCAGGCGGTGATAGATATAATCAGGCACTTGAACTAATGGCATCCATCGTGACCGTGTGAGATATAGCGCTATAGTGTAATTAGAACCAAATCCATTATGAATGGTTGCTTTGTTTCCTTTGCAGCCAGAAGGGGTACTTTACTTACCTGTTCCGCAGATAATAACTGAAAAGAGTAGGAAATAAAAGAGAATGTAGGTCATGACGATGAGTGATACCGGTGAAGATTCCGGACTAGTAAGGTAGTATAGAGCGTTGCGATATTGGGGTTGTAAGGAGGGGTTGGCGCTCTTTCAGAGTATTTCGCTAAAGAAGAATTAAGGGATGATGTGTCACATCAGGCAAGAAGCCGTCGATGAAGGCTGAAGATTTAAAGTGTCACTAGAAGAGAGAGTTTGGAGGGGGCAACGTCAGCATCGCGTTCACATTATTGGCAGCCTGGAGGTCGCCGGAAGCTGTCAGTTTTCGCCTGAGTGAACAGGCGACAAGACATCCAGGCATTCCAGAGCTCAGGCACCAAATTATTAAGTAATTAAGGCAACAAGGCCACAAGGCTATTCCTAATGTAGCCGCCTTAGCGAGACCCCGTCCAATCTGAGGTCTTGGCATTCGAGACACACACAATTTGATACGTGAAGACGGTTTTGATAGCGATTTCGATCTTTCAATTCTCCAACTCAACATCCCCTTCACAATGGCCTCCTCAAACATCTCCAACGACCTGATCTGGCAGATCACCCGTACGTCCGACCTTGCGCATTTTTACCCTTCGAATTTTCATGTCAAAGCTTTTGGAATACCGAACTCGAGCTCATCTTTGGAATAGGCAACCAGAACTCCTACCTGGTTAACCGCAACTCCGCCGGCGGCTTCCAGTTCTCCCGCGACCCCCTCAACCTGGTCAACAAGCACTCCTTCAAGGTACGGCATATATCGGGGATTAAGCGGAATGGACGAACCTCTCCGGGAATGCATGGCTAACAACGGTTTCTTTTGGCGCATTATAGTATGCCGGTTTCGCCAACAACAAGGTAATTATACTCCTCACTGGTGTTTTCGCCTTTCTTTCTAAAGGGTTTGTGGCGCTAACTATTTTACCTTCAGGCCATCGGTGTCCAGGCCACTGAGAACGGCGTCGCTGTGACCACCAAGAAGCCCAGCAACCCCAACCAGCCCGGCCAGAACTTGGTTACCGTCACCTACGGTCCCAAGACCTCCACCCGCAAGTAAGCGGAACCCAATTGCTCTTTTTCTGTATTCCAAGGCATACGGTGTATGCTACTTTCACGACCAAGTGCTGACGGTTATCTTCTCTCTCAGGATCTACAAGGGTGTTGCCGACCGCACCGCCAAGAACGGCTACCGTGCTGATATCCGCGAGGAGGCCGTTGCCCGTGTCAGCGCCGTCCGCCGCTCCCAGCTCCCCAAGAAGGATACCCCTGCCAAGAAGGCCCGCGGTTCCAAGGCCCGCAAGGCCGAGGAGTCCGAGTAAATTTATCTCGATAGGATGAATTGTGGACCATGAAGGATCGGGGATTTGGGGGAGGAGAGACTTGATAGGCGTATAAAACGCCATGCTAGAGGAAACCATAATCTAGCAATCTTGCTCTAAGGACCAAAAAAAAACCAGTGTCCTGTCCGAGACCCTCTAAAGCAAGAGAAAACAAATTTCCAAAACATACAATTCCGGATAAAAGTAAAATTCACGACTTTCACAACTGGTCGGCCCGAGCCAGAATGCTCCGGTTCTGAATATACGTAGTCCGCCTTTTCCCGATATGACGACCCGGTAGCCCGGGGAAGTTTCGGGTGGGACGTATATATTAAGAGATTTTATTCTACCTCGGAAGAATTGCCGGAGAGTCTGGAGAAAGGTCTAAGAGCTTATGTAGTGGAAACATTATACCTAGGCAGAGAGAGCAATAACAAAGGGAAGGATATTTAAAGAGATTAAACCTTATAAAAAGATATAATAATAGAAAATAGAAGATATCAAATAAAATAAAGTAAAAAAATAAAGAATAAAGGTACATAAGGTACGGGAGTATCAAATGCTTTAGATATCGTCTTACATGTGGAAAGCCGATGTTGTACATAAACAAGTCTGGGGTTGCCCCTCTCACCGGCTGCCCCTCTTATATAAATCGGACTGTCCCCCTTCTCACCCTTTCTTCCCCATCTTCTTCCTCTTTCTCACAATAATTCATCATGGTTAAAGCTGGTATGTTATTCGGCTCATTTATCGATCATTTGCTGATTCGCTATTAGTTGTTCTCGGAGCTGCTGGTGGCATTGGCCAAGTATGCTCCCCCACCTTCCCCTGCCCAGAGCAGAGGGAAGGGCATTCCAATGTTTCATATGAACTTCAGCTAATCAATCATCTAGCCTCTCTCCCTCTTGTTGAAGGCTTGCCCTCTCGTCGATGACCTCGCCCTCTACGATGTTGTCAACACCCCCGGTGTTGCAGCTGATCTCTCTCACATCTCCTCAGTTGCCGTACGTATCCTCCGAAGTATAATTGGTGAATATAATTGTTAAAAATGGACTAGAAAATCACAGGCTACCTCCCCAAGGATGATGGATTGAAGCTCGCTTTGACCGGCGCTGACGTTGTTGTCATCCCCGCCGGTATTCCCCGTAAGTAGATCCGATAATCGGCATGTGATGTTTGGCTAACGTCTTATGGTACCATCTAGGCAAGCCCGGTATGACCCGTGACGACCTCTTCAAGGTCAATGCCGGAATTGTCAAGGGTCTCGTCGAGAACATCGCCGAGTTTGCCCCCAAGGCTTTCATCCTTATTATCTCCAACCCTGTTAACTCCACCGTCCCCATTGCCGCTGAGGTCCTCAAGGCCGCCGGTGTCTTCGACCCCAAGCGTCTGTTCGGTGTGACTACCCTGGATGTTGTTCGTGCCGAGACCTTCACCCAGGAGTTCTCCGGCGTGAAGAACGCCTCTGATGCCACCGTTCCCGTTATTGGTGGACACTCTGGCGAGACCATTGTTCCTCTGTTCAGCAAGGTTTCCCCCAGCTTCCAGATTCCTGCTGACCGTTACGATGCTCTTGTCAACCGTATGTGAACAGACCTCCGTTTGATACATTTGCTGATACCCCACAGGTGTCCAGTTCGGTGGTGACGAAGTCGTCAAGGCCAAGGACGGTGCTGGTTCCGCTACTCTGTCTATGGCCTTTGCTGGTTTCAGGTATGTTTCACCCGCTAATCCGGAGCTACCACGGCGACTGACAATACTAGATTCGCCGAGGCTGTCATCAAGGCTTCCAAGGGTGAGAAGGGCATTGTTGAGCCTACTTTCGTCTACCTGCCCGGTGTTGCCGGCGGTGATGAGATTGCCAAGGCCACCGGTCTTGACTTCTTCTCCACTCCCGTGGAACTCGGTGTAAGTCTTCAATTATCCAGTATGTTAAGACAGCTAACTGACATGTTCGATCCAGCTCAACGGTGCCGAGAAGGCCATCAACATCCTTGATGGTATCACCGAGCAGGAGAAGAAGCTCCTCGAGGCTTGCGTCAAGGGCCTCCAGGGCAACATCGAGAAGGGTGTTGAGTTCGCCAAGAACTCCCCACCAAAGTAAGTCATCCTCTCCCCTGTCTGTTATCCATCATGTATACCAGGTGGGTCTCTTCGTGTCGGCATTTCTCCCAGGTTTCCTCAGGGCCGCGATGACACCGGAAAATGACAGAACGTTGCTAACCAATCCTCTCTCGGAAAGATAGGCTTTAAATGTGAGACCACGAGTTTATGAACAATGAGCAGACACGAGTAGTGTACGGTCCGAATCAGGGTAGGTTTGGCAACAAATATATGTAGCAACCAACCTGCAATGGAAAGAAGTACAACATATTCGCACGTTTTTCGGTATCCCGTCTCATATAGCCAAGAGACTTGGAATCATCAATGACCCTTGTAGTAAACCGAGCCACAAGGTCTTTGCAAGGTGGAGCTGTCATAAGTCATTCAATAGGCGTAAATTGGTTGAGTAAAAGGCTAGCCCAGGCCCAGGCGCAACCATTTTCACACTCAAGGCCGAGGCTGGAGAGTTTTGATCTGGAATGTTGCACCTGGTAGATCCGAGGTCTCGGCCTGGACGGTCGTGTTGATTCCCAAATTCGCTAATGCGCCCCGGATGATACCGCAAGGAAACCAGAGGTACTAGATTAACTTATAAGCTAACATATCCTCATTGCAAAGGGGATGATACTTACTGCCTGCGCCATGGATATTGCTTCACTCCGCACCGCCATGCTCATCCTACCAAATGGCCTGAACGTGCTATCGGTCAAAACATAGACTCCCTATTTCAATGTCGGCGTTAGTTTCATGGAAATCTCCGTGCAAGTGGCAGTTATGTCGCATCTCGCCGCAGTTATTCCTGTATTGCACATACCCGATGGTTTGTTTTCAAATTATCGACCTGTTTCTTGAATAGGACTGTCCACAGATCCTTGCAGAGGAACTTGATCACATCGAGATTATCGGTAAAGCGAGGACGGTCTCGGGCGAAGCTATGGATATTGACACAGGTTAGCGCGCTGCAGGAGAAGCAAAGTGGCCGCAAAAGGAGATGGAGATGTTTATCTCTTACCGCTCTGCAAGGCCTTGTCCGACGCGATAACCCAGAGACTCTAGACGGAAGAATGTTGTCTCTCTAACCTCTTCATCTTCTGTTTCCTTTCCCTCGGTCGCGAGTTCCCTTGCCATGCGCTCGGCCATTGGCACCAATTCTATGAGTAGGAAGTCGAAGCATGAGGAGCTGAAGACGCGGGCATTTGGGTCGGTATTCAACGGGGAGGTTGAATCGATTGACATTATGAAATAGTCAACCAAAGGCTAAATGTATTGAATAAACAAGTGATGCGGGTTGATATAGAATGAGGGCGTGTTGGTGGGAAGGACTGGAACTGGGGGAGTTGGAGGAGTTGGGGAGTCGGGGGGAGCTGGGGCTAAGCTAACTCCAGGCCGGAATCCACCTGATATTGGCCTTTTGGTCTATACAAGAAAATATCCCTTAAGCTATTTATAGAAGATTAATAATAATAGTCAAATATATTTCCAGGTTAATTGACCGATTGAAAATAGAATGATGCAATTGCTCCTTAGATACATAGCCACTCGTGATATCTTGAAGACTCCTCTCGCCAGAAACTCCACGGAAATATGCACCAGAAAAAGAGACCAATAATTTGGCCGTCGGCTTGGCAAAAACCGGACTAGAATAATTATCTAAATTCATGGTGGGTATGACCCGCCATTCAGAGGGCTGCTGGCAGGTGGAGGATAGTAATCTTGACGGGAAAAGGTTCGGGATGGCAGACTTGTAGCTGGCCTTTTGGGAGGTGGAACAGGAGACTCTTCATCTTCATCGCCGCTTTCAGTAAGGTCGATGACTTGGGCAATAGATCGCTTCTTGCTGGACATGCGCATCGCAGAAGACGGGGTTGATGCCTCTCGTGACTGTGACTGTGACTGCGCAGGTGTTCGCTCCAGGGCAATGTTCGGGGCTCCCGGTTCTTGTTTGACAGCGGGAATGCCTGGCTCGTTGATCTCGATCAAGTCGTCGTCATCGTCATCGGAAGTAGGAGTCATCCCTCCCAATTTGGTTGCGTCGGAATCACTGGGTTTTGACCATACACCGTCGGGTTCAACGGTGACTTGATCGATGTCCGATGATGTTGACTTAAGGATGTCATCAACGTACCTATAGGGTTAGTCATAAAAAGAAATATATATATCAATGAGGGGATGTGGGACTTACTGGTCAACTTGCAGAGACTCAAAGCTAGTTGATTTGGAACACACAGGGCAGGTCCAAGTTGGAGCTTGCTTTTGCAATTCAAGGAATGAAGTTGCATCGAAACATTGGTTGTGTGTGCAAACGATAGAGCGGCAAGGCACCTGAATGCGCAGGGTAGATAGAGGGCATTTAAGTGACATGACACTTGATGTTGCGACAATGTCCGAGTCATTGGCGCGATTTTGCACTGGACATCTAGATTAGCATGATATAAGGTAATAAAGGGAACAAAGGGGTTTCTTACTTTCACGTAAGACTTGCTCCTTTGAGATTAGTTTCCGTGACTTCAACTGCGATACAAGATCTTCAGTCGGATGCTGCTTCACGAGGTTGGCAAGCACAAAGAATTTCTGCGCAAGCAAATGTTAGTCAACCAGACCGACAGATGCTCTACCAAGTATAAATGGAGTGGATTCATCGAACCTTTTGTGTCAAGGCGTAAGTCATGACGATATTATTTGGGTAATTGGCCTTCTTGCGGATCAAGCTGGTGACATCTGCAGGCTGCGTAGTTCCTGGTCTGTTTTTCAGGCCCCTGAGATTGGCTTTGACTTCATCGAGATTTACTTTCAGCTCCACTTGATGTGGAAATGCGATATCCGACTTAGTGTACTGTGTGAGGCCTGAATCACCGGCGCAGTAAACCATCACTCGAAAATTTGGGTCTGATTGTAGGCTATAGGCAACTTGTTGAGATAGCATGACCTTTAGTTCAATACTATCCCGTGTTTGTTCGCGAACTGGAAAAAATTAGTCATGGATGCTCAACAAGCTTCAAAGATACATACGCAACATACTTTTACACTCCACGATTGGGGTCAAAGGTTCCAGGATTGTGTAAAACGGACTTTCCTTGAAGATCAGAGGACCTGAAGATTTATGGGCCGCGGTAGGAGGGTTCATGAGAGGGGCACTAGGTCCGGAAGAGTATTGGTGAGGTGGCATGGAGACCCCAAGCGGTGCAGGTCGAGTTTGTGCAGGAGATTGAGAAACAGGCGACGGTTGGTATTGTGGTCTAGAGGATGAATATTGCGCAGTGTTTGGGAAAGCAGTAGCACGGATGCGCCTGGCTAAAGCATCGAAACTGACAGGGTCAGATTCCGCGAGGGATTGGATACCTATTTCGTTGGTCAGTATATAGATATCTGTAGGAATAGGCCGAAGCAAGGACTTGAGAAGATTGTCAAACACGCAGGTGATAGAATGAATAAGAAATAATAAAAGTTGGGGAGAGTTGGGAAGAGTTGACGAACGTTGAATGATGCGGAACTGTAGGGTTGCCTTCAACCCGGATACCTGTAGGCCCTCATACCTCAACAAATCTTTCAGTTGTGGATTTGTGAGAGGTTTGATGAAGGCCGTGAGTGTTGCAACCTCTGATGCCAGGCTGGTCGACATGGCTGCTTATGACTGCGCAGATAAGAGAAGTGCGAAAGCAATCAAGGACTTGATTCAAGGTTCCTCGAAAGACAACGGTCCAATTCAACCAGGCCAATTGTAAGGGCTCTGCATCGATACATCCTCCGACTGAAGTGAAATGTGAAAGACCACAAACCCCGTCACAAAAGGGTGAGGGCGAGTCGGCTCTCGGTGGTGAACCTTGGAAGTGCCCGCGGGCGGTCTCCAGATGACATAAGACGAGCCTATCGGAAAAAAAAGTTGATTGTGTTATCAGTTTGACCATTTTATTTCCCACTTGACATCAATTTCAACATCAGTTTTAACATTCTTGCCCATATCTGAACTTCTTGACACCCTATTTACCTTTTTTTTATTCTTCAATATTTTACAATGGCCAAAAGTGTCCGAGCCAGTGTGTCCAAGCGCAACAGAGCCACTCTGCGCACGAAGGTCTTCGGCCCAGTGGTCGATGCCAGAACCGAGAGACTCGCTGCCAAACTACAGGAAATTGCTGCACAGCCGCGGCCTGAACCTCCTAAGAAATCAATGAAGGAGCAAGAGCTCGAGGATGGTATGTAGACTACTATCATCATTTTCCAAGGATACCGACTCACCTCATATTCTAGCAGCCAAGGCCCAGACCGGTAACAGTGAAGGTTAGTCTATGGCAATTTCATCTTTGAATCACACTCCTTTTTTAGATTTGAATTGCAGAATGCTTACCCGCTCAACACAGAGATGGATATCGACACACTTAAGTCCAAGAAGAAGCCCGAGCGTGTGCACAAGCGCAACCAGAAGCCCCGCAACTCGATTGTTTTCCAAAAGCGTCTAGGTACAACCATGAAGGGCCCCAAGAGGAAGTGAAGCGTGTGCCGAGTGAGGGCAACGAATGGATTATTGATGAGATAGTGTGGCGGAGAAGAAAAAGGCGTTTGGGAGTCCACGATTACACCTGCGATTCACGTACATATGTTTCATATTCTTATGTCTGATATACCATACCTTTTCACTAAAGGCTTGAGATATTACTTGGATTTTGCTTGGTGGGCAAAAGAATAACCCTAGTGTGGCCGGGGAGCCGATATAGGTTGCTCTTGATTTCAAATCACCGACAAGCAATCCTAGTCACGATTAATTAGCGAATTTGTGCCTTTCTCGAGCACAGTTAACTTCTACAACATACTGTGTAGATCATGAATAGAGGGGTTAAAGTACCTGTATGGAGTACAAGGTACTCGAGAAGGCGGTGTAGCGATGCGCGTCGATCATAAACACGATTCTGCCTCCTTTTAGATTCCCCGGACAGTTCGACATGTCCATTTGATTTGGGGTTCTTTACATCAAAGATTGTGCTGCCAGTGCCAACGCCAGTCAATTTGCAAAATGGCGGGCTTTCGCAGCTGGACGACGGTTATTGCCAATTTGCTGGTGCCTGTGGGCATACTTACCTTCTCCTCAGGATTCTTCCCTTATAAACCACTGATCCCTGGGTTAGCGACTTTTGATGAAACAGATGCGAATGCCACAGCACCTGCGATATTCGATAAGGTTATCTTTATGGTAGTTGATGCGCTACGGAGGTATGGTTGGAGTAATTCAACTCCCAAACTATATCGGCAACTAACAAGGTGCCACATATAGCGACTTCGTATATTCAAACGACTCGGGTTTCATGTTTACACAGAGGTAAGTGCCACTTTTGAAATCCACCATTTGATTGTACGAGTAAATAACTAATATGATATTAGCTTGATACGGTCCGGTGCTGCATTGCCATTTACTGCCTATGCGAGCTCTCCGACTGTTACAATGCCTCGATTAAAGGCCATCACAACTGGTTCAGTTCCATCCTTTCTGGATGTTATTCTGAACATCGCTGAATCAGATACCACATCAACACTGGCATACCAGGACACCTGGTTAGCGCAGATTAAAGCCGCAGGAGGACGGCTTGTGATGTATGGAGATGACACTTGGCTCAAGCTCTTCCCGGGAATGTTTGAGCGAGCCGATGGAACTACAAGCTTCTTCGTGTCGGTCAGTTGTACTTTAGGTGTTTTCGTATCCGCAGTATTAGTATTGAAACTGAGCTTCTTCTCGCAGGACTTCACGGAAGTAGATCATAATGTGACTCGACACGTTCCTAGCGAGCTTGCCCAGGATGACTGGTCTGCTTTGATCATGCATTACCTGGGTCTGGATCACATAGGACATAAGGCTGGTCCGAAAAGGTAAATGCAGCCCCCTGCCTATTCTTAGCTGCTTTCTAACCTCTAACTCTCATAGTCCGTTCATGATACCGAAACAGCATGAGATGGACTCTGTGGTGACTGAAATATACACCGCAATGCAGCAACAAGACCATCTTCAATCTACACTTTTTGTGTTGTGCGGAGATCATGGCATGAACGAGGCCGGGAATCATGGTGGATCATCTGCTGGTGAAACATCACCCGCGTTGCTTTTTATGTCACCCAAGTTTGAAGCCTTAGATGGGCGAAGAGAAAGCCCCGCGGAACCGTCGGGCGATATGCAGTACTATCAGACGGTTGAGCAAGCGGACATTGCTCCAACCTTGGCAGGGCTTCTCGGTATCCCAATTCCCTTAAACAGCCTTGGCATATTCATCTCGGACTTTTTAGAGATGTGGGATCATGGTATGTGCTCTGTTCCTAACTTCAGTAAAGTGAAATGCAACCAGGAACTGACTCGGAAACAGGTTCTCATAAACTTCGAATCTTATATCAAAATGCCGAACAGCTGCTGAACACGTTGACAACTACATTCCCTGGATCTACATTTGGCCCCGATAGCATTACGTATTGTGCTTCGGGAGTTTCATCGGGTATTGAGGGTGCGCAATGTGCGTGGGCTAAAGTCCAGCAAATTCTCTCTAGCAGGGATGAAACAGATGATCCTTACTCTACGGCCGGGCCCGCTTTGTTGCAGTTCTTAAGGATTGCACAAGAGGTCATGAGCCGTACTGCTAGTAACTACGATGTCTCCAGGCTCATTTTGGGCCTGTTGATCACGGGCGTTGCAGGTCTGCTTGTACTTCCGGCCACATACAAGGAATGCACACGTCACAGATCTTCCGGGATGTTTTTGATGCTCATGATTATCACATGTGGGATGATGATGTTTGCAAGTAGTTATGTGGAAGAAGAGCAGCAGTTCTGGTATTGGATCTGCTCGGGATGGATTGTCTACTTGCATATCAAATCACAATCATCTGCAAAGCTGGTGTCACGCAAACACTTTGGATCATTAGCATCTTGGTCTGGAAAATGCACTATTCTGGTGCTCGCGATCACCCAGCGGATCTTGCGACGATGGAACCAAACAGGGCAGAAGTTCGCAGCCGAGCCTGATATTGCTCGCACCTTCTTTGCACGCCATCCAGAAATCTTCTGGAGTCTGTTTGTCCTCACATATGTGGATGCCGGTCGTCATCTTCTCAAGAGTATATCGATCACTAGGATTTCTAAGCTCAGTGTCTTGGTCCCTGTCGTTTTAGCCTTTACGTTCAAGTTACACTTTGTGACTTCAGAATCCCCTGAGCTCCTAGAGGGGACTTTCATCTCGTGGACCGTGAAAGAATGGCCTTACAGCCTGTCATTGGTTTCACATGCCAGACTTGTGTTTTACGGACTTGCTGTCATTGTTCTGCTAGCGCTCTTTGTCGGAAATCGATCAAGAGTTGCCCGCGGTAAGCCCACACATACCCTTGATTGCCTCACGAGCTTGGAGTTATTACTGACCAGAATCTTTAGCACCACATGATACAATCCACGAAGCTCTGCACATATTCCTAATGACGCAGTCCCGTGCCACTAACGTCCCCTTGTTCTTAATTTTCCGAATCCAGGCCGGCATTCTCTCTTCCATGAACCTCACCGGCATCGAGGTGACAATCACAACCTTGATCTTCCAATATATGACGTTCTTCGCGTTTGGCGGCTCCAATGCAATCTCTTCCGTGGACCTTGCTAGTGGATATAACGGTATTGACAGCTACAACGTGGTGCTAGTGGGAATTCTCACCTTCGCGAGCAACTGGGCAGGGCCAATCTGGTGGGCTTCACAAAGCCATCGTCTCCGGCCGAAAAATCCCGCAGACCAAAACCCCTCGGCACTGTTGACCTTCCATGTCGCCATGTCCATGGTTTCTGTCATGGCCGCCTGTACGGCCCTCCGGACGCATCTTTTCATCTGGACTGTTTTCTCCCCCAAATACCTTTACAGCATGGCGTGGGCCACTGCCAATCATGTTGCGGTCAATTTACTGGGAGAGGTTATTTTCTCTCGATCTCGATCTCATTATTCATGAACAATATTGCAGCATAGAAATACATGGATATACGTCCCTTGGAATCCGTAAAATAGCACTGTACATAGAGGGGTATGAGACTCAAAATAAACCACTGAACAAATCATCAATAGCGTTCTTCTTCTTTTTCTTTTTCGTAACTTTTGAAACGCCGTCCTCTGTAGGCTTTTCTGTAGACTTTTCTGTAGACTTTTCTGTAGGCTTTTCTGTAGGCTTTTCTGTAGGCTTTTTCTCCTCGGAGGTCTTGGAGATCTTGGAGACCTTGGAGACCTTGGAGACCTTGGAGACCTTGGAGACCTTGGAGACCTTGGAGGCGACCTTGGAATCAGACTGTAAAACCTTGACCGGGCGAGTGAGTGGCGCATCATCAATGCGACGAATGCGTTCCCCAAGATCCTCCTTAGCGACAACAGAAGTAGGTTTAGACTTGCTTGCCACTGGTTGGATCTTCAGCTGATGACTGATCCCGGTGATTTTGGATAGTCGGGCCAAGGTAGCTAGAAGCACAATTCCAAGAGTAGAGAACTGATTATCGGCAACGACAGTTGAAAATGCACTAAGGAAACAGTTAATATATTGTTGGGTATAAAATAATAGAACCTTTTCATACATGTAACATCTAGGGATTATGTGGGTAGCCAGATGGGATTTTACCCCCGATCGGGCGAGATCCAAGGTGGCGCGCTTCAAGATGGATAGCCATTTCCACCATTTTGCTCGGCGATGCTGGTTCTTATTTCGATGAAAGATCAGATGCAGTGTTGAGTGGACTGCTAGGATCTCTTTGGAGTCCATGTTGTGAGAGTTGAAAAGATGAAAAGTGGGTTTTCCCAACTTTTACTGTCTACACCTCTTCTACTCCAGGAGCTCTCTACTATGCTTACAATAATCATTTTGACATCCCCAAATTTTTTTATTTTTTTTTTAATTTCCCTAATCTTCATAAAGCAATAGAAAAAGCAAAAGCAAGAAACACAGAAACAGCAGAAAACTCAGAAAACTCAGAAAACGCAAGAACGGCAAGAAAAAACAAGGCAAACGCAAGAACGCAACGAAGAAGCTGTGTTGAACGAGATGTTTCAGTCCGTAGCCAAAGGTAACTTTGGTGAGATAACCGAGAAAGTAGCCACATCAGCTAGCTGTCTTCTTTTTTTCGGTTTTTAGTTCTTTTTGGGATGCTTTTCTTTTCTGAACAAGTCGATGGCGAGGTGATCTCGAAGGCTTACCAGCACCGAGCACGGCCAATCGTAATTTTTCAGAGTAAAATGGCACATGGCCAATTGCAATCTCTTTCAAAGAGGGTAAGCAAAGAGAATGCAATGTTTCAAGCAAAGCCTTCCTTCCAGAACGTGTCAAGGATCTTGATGTTGAATTTTTTTTTTTTTTTTTTTTTTTTTTTTTTCTTTTTCGCGCGGAAAGATCTCGATGGGTTTTTTGAACATTTTGAAAACGATTTTTTTTTTTTTTTTTCATTTTCGCGCGGTAAGATCTCGATGGGATGTTTGAACATTTCGAAAACGATGCGTGATATTCGATTCGAAGGATTGAGATTTGATTGTGTTGTTCATCAGGTTAAGAATGTATTGAAGAATATGCCGGGACCGAATTTGAACGCAGACACCCATGAAGGATGGGGAGCTTGGCTTCGTGGTGAGGGCTTAATTCCTCGGCGAGGTGAACTGACGATCCTCAGCTTTCACGGGAGAAGAGTCCTCATCAGAGCCATTGGGGTCATGTTGGGCCAATTGTCCACTAGTATCCTGGGGATTGCGGATAGAAGCTTGGCCTCGGGGTGTCCGGCTGAAGGACTGGGACTGTCGTGGCGAGGTAAAATGATGATCCTGAGCACGGGAAGTCTCGCTGAAGGACCGAGAGTGTCGTGGCGAGGTAACCTGATGATCCTGAGCCCTCACAGGAGAAAAACCACTAGGTACATTGCGCATAGGTTGGACAAATTGTCCACTAGAGGCATTGCGGGTATGTTGGAATTGTCCACCAGAATTATGGGGACTGCGGAAGGAAGGTTGACCCTGGTAATTCTGGCCAAAGGTCAGAGACTGAGGACGCGAACGGTTATTGCTGCGCGGCGTAGTGTTAAATCGGGGTCGAGGTGAGAAGAGGCCTGTGAAGGGGTCAGAACAGATCCAGTAAAGGGCATGCTGGTTATCTTACCTTGTTGGGTAGTGCTAGCAACCGAGCGACGCAGCTTACTGGCGTCATTGGGGGCTGGGAAAGGCATCTCACTGCCTAAACGAGGACCGTCGGTGTAGAAAAGCTATATTCAGTCAATATCGGTATCATTATGGGAAAGGAAAGGATGCTACTCACTCGAGGTTGTTCGTCGTGAGGACGGGTCATAACGTGACTATTGCGGAACTTGCTGATGAGAGTATCTCTTCCCTGGAGTGCTGTTGAAACTTGTCAGACATCATTCTCACATTGACCACGGATGAGATACGAACTAGCATAGGAGATCTCAGTTTTCTTCGTAGAGCTGCTATCGGGCCTGTGATCGTCTTGGGTCAGCGAACAAGCAATTGATTAGGGAAAATGAGGAGGAACATACCAAGACTGGCCCTCTCGAGCGCGAACGAGCTAAAGGAAACTGGTAAGTACATATCGCACATTTTCCAAGGATATAACTCACGGTAACAATATCAAGTGGCTACAGAAGATGTTAGTAAAATGTCGGATGAAAGAGGCATCAGATGAAAAGGATAACAGGGGAAATACTCACATCCGCGAAGTTCATGAACGCATAACCAACGCTAAAAGGGCAAATGGTAAGCAACATCGAAAGCCAACAATGAGCAATCAGAACTTACTTGCAACGGTTCCAGAAATCTAGAGAACGCATTAGCGGGAACAAGCGAATGAATCATCGAGAAGAACTTACCCATCCGAAGGTAGAGGAAGTCATACTTCCCAAAGCTGGACTCATCGAGAAGCATCTTGAGTTGATCCTATTGAATGATCACATCAAATTAGTCTTCGTGGTTTTCATAAGAAGATGGAGATAATCGTACTGTATTGAGCTTATTGGGAACGTTGCGGATCATAACCTGTAATGATAGAATATGTGAGAAATTGATCTTGCGGCGAATTGGAGCAAACTTACGGTGCTGCGGAGATCTAGTCCCTGCATGATCCGATCGAGATGAATAATGTTATTCTTATTATTAGGGGAACCGGCGGCCTTGTCGAGCTCGTTGGACATGGGGTCATATGGGCTCACGGGGCTCTGAGGGGGAACACGGTTAGGTGTTTGAAGGTTAGAACCATGGGTAGGAGTTCGTTGGTGCGAAGCACGGCTAGGCGTTTGAATTTGAGAAACACGCCGGGGCGATTGAATCTGAGAAAGAATAGGCAGCTCTTCTTTCTCCTCAACTGGGTAAACCTCGAAAAAAAGACTCTGTAGAAAACTAATATTAGCGTTGCACTTTCAAGAACAGAAAAAGAGGGGCAAAATACATCGAGCTTAAATCCATTGAGGCATGAAACAGCGTAAGCCGCATGACCCAGGTTGAAATATTCCACGTGGTATCGGCTCGAGTTTCGTCCGGTCTCGATGAGCTTGCAGAAACGTGGCGTGCCAAGGGAAGCAACGATATTTTGAACAACCCCATCCATAGATTCCAGGAGCCATTGGTTGGTGAACACAGAAAGCACAAATGCACCATCCTGGGGAGCAGGTGCAGGAGAGGAAGCGGATTCATTGGATCCATTGAGGGTAGCAATCTCTTGGACAGTGGACGGGAAGACGCGCCATCCAGGACGAGTTGAGCGGATTTTATTCATGGCATTGATGTTGTCTCTGAGATCGCCAAACGAAAACGAGAACATGCCCCTAGTTGCAATGTGTTGGAGGCAAACAGCCTGAAGGGAAGGATATTCCTCGATCTTGATAAAGTCAGTTTTAGTCTATCCAATAATCAGATTAGTGTTGTAACTTACCGGGAACATCATAACGACAGAACGGTGCGAGGTGTCGAGAGGGACATTGTGCACGATAAAAGATCGATGCTTTTCAGCAACATCATGAATTCCAGTGGAGGATCGTGAATGGATGGTACCGGTAGAGCGACCAGCTTGAGGATCGATGTGTGCAGTATCAAGAGCGTCTCCAACAGCAGGGCTGTTAGTGGTGGTGAACAAGTTAGACATAAAAGGAGGGGCGGGGTTGTACTCATAGCTAAAGCCCTGACGGGATGGCGAGTAACGAGTGTTGGCAATAGCTGTCTGAACGGGAGAGAGTTGATATTGTGATCCACCCAAACGCCCCCGAGCGTGATATGGTGTATGAGGTGAGTATTGCATTTGATCCAGCGATCGAGCTGCGATGGCTTGAGAAGGCGAGTATTGCATTCCACCAGAACCAGCATTTGCAGGAGATACCTGCGAGGAAGGAGACGAGTACTCAAACTGGTTGGCTGATGTCTGCATGTTAGCCCGCCCAAGGGGTGCGGGCGCACCAACCTGAGTCAAGATATTGGCATGTTCAAATGGTTGGGCTGCATAGGCATAAGTAGAAACAGAGCTTCCACTATTAGGGTTTGCAGTAGTGGCGGGCGCCTGAGACGCGGGGACGTTAAACCCCTGTCGCATTTCATTGTTCCAACCAGCAAACGGATCACTGCGCGCGTTAGCGTATTAGGGCTATTTGCTCCAATGTATGTATAAACGACGTCGCACTTACCCGATCGGGCGGTTGGTCGAAGTTCCAGGCAACGGAACAGAACTTTCTCTCTGGGCAACAGCCTCATACCCCATGGGGTTGAAAGCAGCAAGTTGCTTCGAGGGCGATCCTCGAGTCGAAGGAAGTTTTTCCATGTTTGAAACTAAAGTAACGCCAATGTAAGCCGACAATCTTATTAAAAGACAATCTCAAGACATACAAGCTGAATATCTGTCGGCGGGAGAGCGGCAGAGCGGCGCAAAGTAGCAATTAAAGTCAAGGAAAAGTAGAGAAGGTGGTTTACGGAAATGGGATGGGAAAATAGAAGAGAAAGATCGTGATGGAGAAATGATGCTTTAAATACTCCCCAATCGCGACATAGGTTGTAGTCGCGATCTGGGTCGCCGGGGGTGACGAGGTGGGGCTATGCGCGCACAAATGGCAAACGAATGGATGAATGCTATGTAGTCTTTTACATGCACCGGGGTGAATGAATAATCATGTATACTACCTATCTACCCATACTAGTAAGCAGGTAGGAGGTTACTTCTATACGTAAATGCACAGATAGAATAAATGAAGCAGTACCATCCAAATAGGTTGGTGAGGGTTGTGTATGGAGAGGAGATAAAGAAATGCGAATATGGTAGAAACTTGAAGACACTGCGCTAGAATCTTATAGTCCATAGCTCTACGGCTATAAATTTGATATTGAAAAATGGGACTAATTACAACGCTAGTACATAATGGGACTAGCGCCAATACTCGATAAGAGATTAGAGCTGAGCGGTGTAACACAAATTGAACCTCCATGGATGAGTTCTGCCAGCCCTAGAGGGAGAAGACGGGAAGTCGCCCTGGATATACTCTGCCTCCTGATCCATAGTAGGAGCATCGCTTCAAGACCGAGATTGTACGGACAGCTTTAATAGGACTCGGTAAATATAGCTTATACGGGAATAGCTTATGGTCAAGCATAGAGGTTTATAGGGCTTTAAACCGCCTGGAATCGCGCAAACTTAAATATTTGTAAAGTGAGAATAACTTCCGACCGTACAAATATACACATAATGTATATTTGTACGGTCGGAAGAGCTTCAATTATGGAAAATGTTTATAGGATTTCAAAAGACAATCCAAGCATACAGACCATGCTACTAAGTATCTACCCACTGCCCATTTTCCCACCAGAACTGACCGAGTTTGAAGCCTATTCTCTCGATGAATTTATATTGTAACTTATTTTTATTTATTTTTATCTTATTTATAATTGGAAGCCCAATGTAATATATTATGAAATTATATCCGTAAATATTTTTCATAGAGTGTGGCCAATTTTCAAAGCCATGATAGAGATTCTGATCGCCAGTTTAGTATGGGAACTACTAGCTCTCGCTATATATAATGACAATTTATTTTGATATCTGAATTTCAACTACTTGTCACTCAACAGCTATATATATTGGACTATTCGGAAAGAGCTATTTTAATAATCTGATAATGATCTTCTATTGAAAATTATCAGAAAAATTATTACAATATAAATTTATTGAGAGAATAGGGTTCAAAGTTGGTCAGTTTTGGTGGGGAAATGGGCAGTGGGTAAATACTTAGTAGCAGGGTCTGTAATTGGACTCGAAGGCGGTAATGCACATTGGTGGCAGAACGTCTGACCGCCTGTGAACGCCAACAAGTAGCTACCTAGATCATCTATCTACCGATAAGGTTGCAAGCTTAGCAAGTGGGAGGTATTGACTATTGGGCTTCACTCTGGCTATGAGGTTGAGCCATTATGCCACCCATGGCTCCAATGCTCAATGAGCCACATGTTTTGAACCAAGTGAGCCAGCCTACACGTTGGAGAATGTACCTCAACTGACTGTTTTGTCCTTAGATTATCATCTCACCCTCCGATACAGACTATCTGGATCAACTCATTCCTTCAATCCGAGATTACAGTGTTGGAAACCGCACTCCACAATTGCTGCAGTCACTCTCCCGGTTCGCGGGCGACAAGGAGTCCGAGATCGAAAGCATCTGCAACACAAATCACCAGGAGTTCGTCTCATCTGTCAATTCACTGCTTCGGATTAGAGAGGGGACTGTGAGCTTGACATCTGAGATTCTGGACTTGAATCAATCGATTCAAACTAGTACCGAACGCCTGGCCGAGCAGAAGAAAGCATTGGTGGAGTCGCGGGGCCACCGACAGAACATTGATGAGACCAGTCGTGCCATTCAGGATTGCTTGGAGGTGCTGCGCCTAGCGAACCAAGTCCATGATCTCCTGGCGAAGAAAAACCACTACGCGGCGTTGCGGGCGCTGGAGGAATTACAAAATGTCCATCTGAAGGGGGTGACGCAATACAAGATTGCAGTCATGATACAACGCTCGGTTCCAGCGACACAAAGAGCTATTGCGGAAGCAGTGATGTCAGATCTTAACACCTGGCTTTACCGCATTAGAGAAATGTCTCAATACCTTGGAGAAATAGCGCTCTTCCACACAGACCAGAGGAAAACAAGACAAAAGCAAAGAGCGGGAAAAATTCCTTATCTAGAGCATTTCACTTTGAACTCTGCAATCGAATTGGTGGCTGACGAAGATGAAGAGTATGACCTGCTCCAGAATGAAGATCTTCAAGTTGACTTCACGCCGCTGTTCGAATGCTTGCATATCCACCAGTCTTTAGGACATATGGATAAATTCCGAGTTGAGTACGCGACCACCCGCCGAAAACAGAAAGAGCTCTTGCTGCCGTCTTCTATCACTCTTGTCGATGAAGATGGCTCTAGTCTGCACAATCTCTTGGAAGAGATGGCTGGATTTGCCATTGTTGAACGGGCCACAATGAAAAGAGCGCCCGATCTTCGGTCATCCGTCGATGTAAGAAACCATACCCTCTTTCTCTTTGGCCTCTTTCCAACTAGAGGCCTTCTAGCAATGATCTAACCCGCCCCTCCAAATAGATTGATGAACTCTGGGATTCAATGTGCCAAGGGGCTGTAGTGTTGATATCGAAAGCACTTCATGAAGTCGACAATGCTGAAAGCATCCTCAGCATCAAGAATCTGATTGCTCTATTCATGCAGACGATGAATGTAGGCAAGCCCTTCTCTATCATGATCGGCTCAAATAACTTATATCCCGCATAACAGACTTGGAACTTCCCCGTGAGAGTCTTTGATGACTTCTTGTTGACACTCTTCAGCAAATATGCTGAACTTCTGAAGAAAAGATTCAGTGACGATTTCCAGGAGGTAGGACGGTTCTCGCCTACCAATCTATTTTAAATTCTGACACTTCCAGATTGTGTCAACGGATGATTATATGCCCATGCCCATACAGACCCAAGAGGAGTATGACAAGGTTCTCAACGTCAGCTGGTACAGCCCCGAACAACCTCGTGAGGAACAAGTGTAAGTTTCGAATCAGCCAAGGCCAATTAGTCCTTATTCAGACCTAACTAATCACTGCCTTAGATTCCCATGCATCCTGCCATTCTCTCGAATGTATCCGCTATGTTGCATTGATATCCATAATTTCCTGAATCAGTTCTATCTCTTCGCAAATGATGGCTTCGCAAATACAAATGTGATTGATGAAACACTGAAGAATGTGAGTTCCAACCAACATACTCAACGATGACTTGACAACTAACCTAGCAGGATCTGGATGACCTCCTTTCACAAGAAGTCTGTGACACTTTAGTGGAGCGTCTTTCCTCGCAATATCTAGGTCAAATCGTTCAGATTCTTATCAACCTGGAGCACTTCGAGCTAGCTTGCCGCGAGCTGGAACTCTTATTAGCAGCAGCCCGATCACAGAACTCTACCGGCATCTCAATCGCGTTGAGGGCCACTGAGAAGTTCAAAAGCAACAAGAAGGCTGCTGAGAAGCGTATCTTCGAGGTGGTCAATTCCAAAATCGATGACCTTATCGAGACAGCAGAGTACGAGTGGATGTCACCTACGCCTCCCACAGAGCCGAGCAATTATATGCAAACGTTGACCCGATTCTTGTCCAACATCATGAACTCCACATTGTTGGGTCTACCGACGGAAATCAAAGAGCTCATCTACTTTGACGCCCTTAGCCATGCTGCTAACATGATTCTGGTGGGTTTTATATGGACCCTGAACCATTGGAATAGAGGTTTACTGACTAATCATATAGGCGCAACCATTGTCCCCTGATGTGAAGAAAATCAACCCTAACGGAGTGGCGGCATTAGCAAAAGACGTTGAATACCTTGCCGAATTCGTGGATAGCTTGAATGTCCCAATTCTTCGGGAGAACCTCGACGAGTTACAGCAAACCGTGCAGTTGATGCAAGCGGACAATGCGGACGAGTTTTACGACATTTCCACGAGGAACAAGAAATATGGACGCGTTGATGCCATGCAAGGGCCTATTTTGCTTGAAAAGTACGGTTTGAAACCTACACCTGATTGCCCTGAGCTGCCTGCTAACTAGTTCCCAATAGGCTCACACGCAGTGTTCAAGCCCCCACCAAGGTGGATAAGTTTGCGACTCTCTCATCGCGCTTCAAGAAGACTGGATAAATCTATGAGTGTGTTATGTGTAATGCAATTTTTAACTATGACAATGAAGTACCTCTTGGGGCCTATTGTGAGCATAAGTAAAAAGGCCATATCAAACGACTCCGGACCATCCAAGGATGTCTCTTGTCTCTCAAATTGTAACCTCGGTTTACTCCAAGATTTGCACGAGACGTAGGTACATACATGATACTGCTAACAATCAAGAGTCTAATATCACATACAACCTTCAGAATTCCACATATCGTTTCCTCTTTTCTGGCCAGGGTCAAACCTGCTCATTCCGTACGTAAAGAATCCAAAAGACCAAAGATTCGGAGTCGCTCAATCACCACTACAGCATTTACCTTGCTTTGCGTGGGAAAATATAATAGTAAAGAGAATCAAATAATAACAGTAAAAACAGTGAGAAAAAAAGATAAAACGGACCAAATTTCGCCTTTAAACGCGCATCGACTACATAAATAAAAATGACGGCTAGACCATGTGCAGATGGCACGTTCACTTAACGACAAAAATTAGCTTGTCTGCTGAGGATAAGACATGACAACTACGTACCTGCTGGGGAGGGAGATGCGGGTAGGCGTACATCCCCTCGAACATTTGGGATTGAGGTTGGCCGTATGCCGCAGACGGGTCTGATTGAACGGCTCCGGGATACATGGCAGGTTGAGGGCGGTACTCCTGCTCCTGGGGCATACCGTGCTGGCCAAGGGAGGCGTAATCTGCAGGGCCCATGTGCTGGTGTGGTTGAACTCCATGAGGGGCAGGAGGCAGTTGACCAGGGGCAGCAGAAGGCCCTGGGGCGGTGCCGGCAGCCTGACTCGAGCGCTTGGCATGAGAGGTTGCCTCTTCACGGGGAACGATATCAATCAGGAAGTCAAACATGTCCGATTTGGAGAGAGCGGCGGCAATGTCGGATCGCTGGAGGGTACGACGTTTGTTGTCCTCGGCGTGGATCCAAGCGCGCATAGTCAGCTCAGTGATAAAAATATCACAGCCCTTAGCGAACAAGATGGGCGCCTCTGCAGATATCATCTTAACCTCCGGGTCCGCCTTCATCACCTTCTTGATACGGGCCAATGGCAACTGGTGGATCTTGTAGTCGTGGTTGTCTGATTCCAGGTGGTTGATGACGTGCTGCCAGTACGTCGTCAAGATATCACGTGCGGTTCCTTGAAGGCCTTGGTTTACCTAGTCCTGGTGAGTATCGAGCTCAACATGTATCTAGTCATCTCAGTAACTTACATTGGCCCAAGTACCAGTGTACAACTCGGCAACTGGCGCATAACCTTGCGCTGAGAGCTATTTTAACACAACTTTCATTAGCTGAAACTCAAGACATTTCGCGCGATCATCATAGGGTGAGGGTAAGACTGTAAGGCTTGCGCGCCTCACCGCAATGGACATACCGCTGCGCTAGCACCTATAGATAAATGACTATTGTCAGCCTCCATTCATATCAATTTCATAACCGCCAGGTAGCAAATAATCTAGCAGAGTAGCCCTTTGATAGACCTCGATATGTAATTCTGGCGCGGAGCTTTGGCCCAATGGTAAACTTGGGACTTACCATAATGACCCCCATTTCTAACATCATAAATCGGTTGCGGCTGCTGCTGCTGCTGTTGCTGTCTGCCCTGCTGCGCAGTGCCTTGCGGAGACTGCTCCATGCTTTGGTGTTGAGCTACACGGAGCCTCTTAGGTGTGTCGGGCAAATGGTGCGGAGGGACGGGGATGCGACGCGATCTGGCGTGAGATGCGGTGAAGTGGGGTATAGGGTCTAAGAACAAAGAACGAATGGACTTGATATAAAATCTATAATCAGACAAGTATCACAGCCAGTGACTATGTGAAGCCTGGGTTCTCAACGCGCGTTGGGTGCCAAGCTGGAGGTGTTCAGCTGTCTGACGTTCCCCGGAGCCACACCCCTCCGAACTCAAGTGTATAATACCTACATGTATACAATGTATGGACTATGATATATGGGATTTATATCTTAGATGTTAGGACGGATTTCTCTAGCATGTACTTAGGTCTAGTTTCAAATAGTAGAATGGTTGTATAGCATTGGATTATCTATTGCAATGAACGTAATATGCATTTGCATTAAAGATTCAGAGAAATACCTCTGATAGGTGAATGCGTTGGGGCCTTCGACTTTCAATACAGCTGTACCATTCAGAAAATACTTTAAGATTAAGTACTAGTACTTATTACTTACGCAATAACTAGACCAATTTGCTTGTACCAGATACTGAAATAATAAGTATTTGTGAGTCACATGACAATACTCCACTCTCATAAGCAGAAATTTCTCATAAACATTTTTCCGATCCGGGAAGGAGCAAGCAAAGCTAAGAAAAAATATAAATTCTCTCCACTCACCTTAAAACTTCTTGAGTTTTCGCTTCTCTCCCTATTCACCAGGGATGGCTGACTCAACATGCGTTCAGGATGTTCAGGAAGACCTGACTGATGATCAAATTCAGCAATTGCTTCTCGAGGCAGAGACTCGCCTGAGAGGTCCCAATACACTGAGCACCCAGACTGATGATCTAGCATCCATCAGGTATGGCCACATTCTCAAGATTCAATAAGCTAGGATTCAGGGCTAATCTTCGCTAGGATTCCGAAATTGTCACCTGGATCCTCGCTGGAAACATACATTCGACAGGGGGATGATGTTGCTATTGTCGATGCTGCAAAGATTACCGACCAAAAGCAGAGGGAGTTGGCCAACTCTCTTCGCAAGGTTGAGATCAAGAAAGCGAATACCGTGAGTCACCCAATTGCCTCCTTTCTATACTTTCTTTTTTTTATATGCTATGAGGAAAATATTCCCAACGCGAAGCGCTTGATGCGGCGTAAGCAGTCCGTTTTGGGCTGTGCTGCACCAGTGAGAGCCTTTTTATTCATAGTTACTCTGAGCATTCATCACAATTACTATATTTTCACGGTGTGCGATATTCGTGGCCAATCGCTAACAATCGTCGCCCTTGATAGGACAAACCTACTGCTGGACCTGAGTGGTTCAACCTCCCGAAGACAGAAATGACCCCAGAGCTTAAGAGAGATCTGCAGCTCATCCGGATGCGTTCTGTGCTTGATCCCAAGCGTCACTACAAGAAGGAGAACGGCAAGGCCAAACCGCCCGAATATTCCCAGGTTGGAACCATCATCGAGGGTCCTACTGAGTTCTTCAGCAATCGTATCGTCAAGAAGGATCGCAAGAAGAACTTCGTCGAGGAGACATTGGCACTCGAGCGTAGCACCAAACGCTTCCAGTCCAAATACAGGGACATTCAAGCCAGCAAAACAAGCGGGAAGAAGTCCTTCTACAAGAACCTACAAGCAAAGAGATCCCGGAAGAACAAGTGAAATTTCGGTCTCTACTTTCATCAACTATGCCAGGAATGGCAACAACCCCATGTTGGCCATGGCTATACATGTCGACGGAATCTACGGAATCGCCTGCTGAGAACCCAATAAGCTGGACCCAGATCGTCACGATCTGAGATCATCATATGCATACATCTATGTCAAGCCCAGTCTTAATCGCGATCAAAGACATCCACAAGGGTTTCGACAACCAGTCTCTGGATCGATGTCAATTCATTGTCTTCCAGGGTTGATGTAATGATCTTACCTGCATGTCAATAGCTGCCTCGCGGCCAGCTTCGAGGACCTCTTCATGTCCTGCCATGCCCTCCTCTAGAAGGGCGCTGAGTTCGCCTGCTGCCTTGTTTTGGAGCAAATCATCATCTCCTCGAGGCACGGGGGACAATACGACCTTGTTCGTGACCAAACTGAAGGCGAGCACTCGCAAGCCACAGTGTCTAGCAGTGACGATCTCCGGTACAGTGGACATTCCAACCACGTCGGCACCGAGCATTCGAAGCATCCGGCTTTCAGCTCTTGTCTCGTAGCTTGATGCTATCAGAATCAAGTACAGAAGGGATTGTGGGAGGTGACTTACGTGGGACCTCCGCAGAATGCATATACCCCCTCGTGCAATTTTCTCTTGGTTTCGGGGGAAATGACTTTCTTCCATGACTGATGCACATGACGACGGAGCTCAAGGTCATAGGCGTCAGATAGCGGTGGGAATCGCACTCCAAATTCATCTTCATTGGGTCCTCTCAATGGATGGGTTCCTGCCAGACCGGCGAGGAAGAGATGCTGTAAACCGGTGTTAGAATCACTCCACTCGGTAGCTTCAACGGGGGTTTCTCCTACATCATTCAACAGAACGATATCCCCCACAGAATACTCAGAATTCAAACCACCGGCCGCATTGGTCACTACCAAGCATCATTAATCCTTGCCATTCTGTAACATCACACCTTATATTCAGGATCATGTAGAACGTACAGACAACCGTATTCACTTGTAGCTGCTTGAACACTCGAATTGGGAATGATACCTGATCAATCGAGTGCCCCTCGTAGTAACTAAGTCATGGTCAGTTGTGAATTATAAGCAGAAATCAGGGCTTAAGCTGACTGAGCACGGCCAACCATCAACACTGCAGGGATTTTCTGGCCAAGAAGACCGAAAACCAGCTTTCCAGCATGTCCAACGACTGTGGAATGTTAGAACCTCTCTCTTCTTTAAGCCTGAAGATAGATGACCAAACCTGTTGAGCGAGGGAAGTGGGGGATAGATGCATAGTCAAATTCAACACGCGACTCGGGCTGAATAGTATCTGCAAGCCCTCCTAGCCCTGAGCCACATACAATTGCGACGTGAGGCTTTTGCAGGGCCTCTGGCAACTTGGTTCTGAGATAAGAAACCGCCTCGTTGGCCCGCTCGAACGAGGACAGGTCTGTTTTTGTCATTTTTGCAGAAGTCGGCCTTATCGTATATACGGGTTTGAAGAAGTAGAATATATAAAGTGGAAGGTAGGGTTGCAAAAAGCGACGTTTCCAAGTGCGGAGTCACATGGTTCCATTGCCCAGGTCGCTAGTTTGGCGGGGGTGCAATGATCCGATTCATAATAAAAATCATTTGACATAAGGATAACTATGATAACTCTAGATGTCTTCAGAATATTCTATTCAAAGGGGCTGGAGTAAGAAAGTTGATCACTTGTAAGGAAACATTGAACATATCTATAGAAGGTAGGTAACATAGGGTATAGGTTACATATTCGGGATTTCAATTCAAAATTGGATTATCAATCTCTGAGTACAGGTATATTGGCCTTTGCCATTATTGTATCAATTTTAGTATAATATATAATAAGAAAGATATCACTGCCCGGAGTACTCCGTTTCAATCGTCTTCTCTATATCCAAGTTCCCACTCACCGCCCTAGACTCGCTCCCCGAAAAAACCCATCCGCTAACAACAACGGATCTTCCTCAAAATCACGATTAACAATGTTCTCATACACATCGCGCTCCTTACTTGGAGTGAGCAAGCGCCTCAGGGTATGTTCTCATTTTGTTTGATTCTCAATTCCCGCGCTAACAGCTCCATGAAAGGTGCCTGTGCCATTCCGCTCTCTATCATCCCCAACCCAGCCAACTCCGCCGGAGCAAGAGAAGACACCCGCTCAAGACTCAACACCGACCCCTACACCAGTCGCTCCCGCAGAAGCTGCCTCTGTGGCCCCTACTCCTGCTGACACTCCTGCCGCTACGCCCGTCGCGACCCCTGCTACCCCCGCCGCTACCGCCCCTGCATCGACTATTCCAGAAGCGTGAGATACTCTTCAATTACAGTGTGTTTTAGGTTTGTGGCTGATTGACAATTCAGATCGGCGGAGCCCGAGCAAATCACCAAGCCTAGCGTGAAAGAATGGTCAGTATCCGAAGCGATTGACCCAATGCCAAAATATATCAAAGGTCACAGCTGATAATTTCGTAGGTCTGAACGTTTAGGAGCATTCGGCGAGGAGAGCCGACTTCCACGAAGCGTGCAAGCCATATACCTACGCCCTTTGCGGAGGAAGGCCGAGTACGGCCTCCCAGTCTGCGACCTCCAATTGCGATCATACAGTGTCCGTAACGTGGAGTTCTTCACCGACTTTGCCATCCGTGCCGCTTACTACCTCAACCTCCCCGTGTCCGGGCCTGTGCCTCTCCCCCGCATCGTTGAACGCTGGACCGTCCCCCGAAGCAACTTCGTACACAAGAAGAGCCAGGAGAACTTCGAACGTATCACCCTCCGTCGACTGGTACAGATCAAGGATGGAAACCCGCAAGCGGTGCAGGCGTGGCTTGCATTCCTCCGGAAGCACGCATTTTACGGGGTCGGTATGAAGGCAAATATTTGGGAACACGATAGTCTTGGTATGGTTCTACTTTTTTTTTCTCTTTATGTTTTCGCTGATCAAGTCACTAACCATCAATTCTACAACAGATGCTGGTAAGGCTATGGATGCTTCTGTTGCCGAGGTGGAAGAAGCTCTTCGCCCCGAGCTTGCGCAATTCGGTCAGCGCAAGGACAACTCTGCCCCGGGCACGATATTCGATACTTTGAACAGTGAGAGATTCGCGGAGCGCAAGGGTCTATAGATGGAATGGTGACCTACTGCTAAACTTGTATACCCGTGAACATCTGGACTTGGTGTCTTTGCTGCAGGCGCTGTCTTCATTATATTCAAAAGCCTACTTGATCTAGGCCATATGTATTTTACTGTTTTACTATTCTCATTTAAGCCCAGATGAAAGGAAGCTTATACATACTGAAAGAGGTTGCTTGACACAACCGAGTCCTCCAATAGACGTGCCCTTATTCTGATGCTATGCTTAATATGCGGAATTTGCCATGATAGGTGTACATAACAATGATGCGCAGTACATTTTATACGGATACATTGTACGATATCGATCACGTGATACATATCGCGTTTCGCGTTTTTCAGGATCGTTGAGAACTACGGCACTACGAAGTGATTGCACTTAGAAAATTTCCATTCTCGCACGGACTAAGCGGTTGTTGGAGATGTCCGCTAACGCAATGCGTCGTGAATTTGCCTCACTGGGGTCGTTGCATACGAAACATCTCCATATCCGTCCAAGCGGGCTCTCCCTTCAAAGGAGATGCCATCGATGGAATAGCTCAAAGACCACCCCGCCAGCACATGAGCCTATTATATTTTCCGGGATTCAGCCCACTGGCGTACCTCATCTGGGCAATTATCTGGGAGCTTTACATGAATGGGTGAAGCTCCAGGAAAGTGCAGCCGAAGGAACCAAGTTATTTTTCTCTATTGTTGATCTACATGCATTGACAGTGCCCCAAGACCCAGCTCAATTGAAGAGATGGAGGAAGGAGGCATTTGCAACGTTGCTTGCTGTGGGCCTGGATCCCAAACGCTCTACAATATTCTACCAGTCCAGTGTAGGTTCTGTCTTATAGCTGTTGGCTGCCAAGTACAATAGGGTCTTTATATTGACATTCATCAGGTGCCAGCACATACTGAATTGATGTGGATTCTCAGTACGGTGGCTTCCATGGGGTATCTGTCTCGTATGACACAGTGGAAGGTGAGCGGCCCTGTAATCTTTATATAAAAGGCATTCTATTGACACCCTCCAGAGTAAACTTCAGCTACCAGAGGATACTACGCTTGATGACTCGACAGCACGGGCACAACTGCGACTTGGTCTTTTCTCCTATCCAGTACTACAAGCTGCTGATATCCTTGTTCACAGGTATGATTCGTGTCTATATTGGTGCGTTCTTTACTAATGATCTCCAGAGCTACCCATGTCCCCGTCGGAGAAGACCAAAGACAGCACCTCGAGTTTTCCAGATACACCGCGAACAGCTTCAACCACCTCTATGGGCCCATCTTCCCCATCCCAGAGGCACTGATATGTAAGATAACAGCTGGCTGTGCCAGAACGAACAAAGAAGCAGAACAGACACTAACTTGACACAGCCCCTGCCAAACGAGTGATGTCCCTTAAGGAACCCACCTCAAAGATGTCCAAATCGCATGCCGATGAGAAATCCCGAATCATCCTTACGGACTCACCGGCCGAAATCAGCAAGAAAGTCAAGGTAGCCTTGACTGACTCGCAAGCAAGCATCACCTACGACCCGGTCTCTAGACCTGGCGTGTCTAATCTCATCGAGATCCTAAGCCACCTAGAAGGTGTATCGTGCGAGGATATTGCGGCTGATTTCCACAGCGCAAGTCTCCGATCACTCAAAGAACATGTTGCAGACCGGATTTCCCATCATTTGCAGCCGATCCGGGATCGGTATATTACAATCATGGAAGCTAAGACTGGATATCTGGAGTCTGTGGTTGAGGAGGGAGCCGAAGCAGCGCGGGCTAACAGTCGGGAGACCATGCGGCAAGTTCGGGATGCTATGGGTCTGTGAGTGGCAAGTATTTGTACATAGTGAATGATTTGTATAGTAAGAGAATATAAGTGTATAAGAGTCAGATATGTACGTATAGACTCGGAAGCCTAAAGTGGGAAGTGGAGTCATCCGCGTCATCATCTACTACGTATGTTGCCTACGCATGTGCATACGGATTTCCCGATCGGGGTGTCGCCGCTTTATGGGCTGTCCTGTTCACTGAGTATTTTACAGCATAGGTTGATTACTTGGTGTACCCAAGGGCCCGGGGTATCTATGGATTTTGTAGTGCTCAGGTTATACCTAGGTACTCAGTGAGCGTTCAGGCGTGCTTAGGGAACGCTCCAGGGATGCTCAGAGAGCACCCAGCCATGCCCTGGCGGTGTTAGCGGAGCGCGTTCGACTGGCGGAGCACAAAGGTGCCGCTGTGATAAACAACGTGGCGAGCAACGTCATTTGGATGTTCGTCGTCTGCTTGATTTCCTGGAAGGCAGTCACCTTTCTATTCTAGCTGCTTCAGCGGATTCGTGACCGGTATGTCACTTGATATCTTGCCCTATACAGGAAAAACACGCTGAATTGTGATGTAATTGTTTCCGGCTCCTGTGCTGGTGCTGTTCCGCGTGTTGCAGTGCCTCGTAGCCCGATCCTAGTATATGGGGCTATGCTTTTGCGCATGATGTATAGCCGCAGAATGGGAACGCCAATGAATCTGGCCCCAGTGTTCATTTACCGTCACGCTCTGTGGGTGGCTTCGTGCTAAGCTGCGTTTTCGGGCCACGTTGTTTTGCCATGTCGAGTGGCTGCAGTTGAACGTCAATTGCATGGCCATGGGAGCTTAGTTGCTGGCTTCCCACGACAGGGTGGCGTGCAATACCCATAAGGTCCTTGGTCGTGGACTCAGCACTCGAAAGCTTGCGAGTCAGCGTTCAGGCGGCCGTGAAGCCCTGCTCTATCGCGATAGCCTACCTCACTATTTCCATGGGGAAGCGTAGCTCCACGCCATAGAGTAGCATGTGGGGGGTGTATCCCGTGGAGGTGTTGAGGAGTTGAAAGTGGCTTGAAGGGGAGTGCTACCTAGGTAGGTAGATTCCAGTTGCTTATAGCGGGATCGGGATTATCGGGACGGGTCCACGGGTGCTCAGTTTTACTTAGTGAGCAAAGAGCGGCAAGGGGTGAGCACTAAAGCGGAAGGGGAAAGCCATATGCTAATGATTAGATCTGATCATCAAAGATTATACTGGGAAAAGTAGTGTGCACAGCCCTTTTCCGCTTTTCTCTTGCCATCGACCTATAGAACTAGCACATGTAAAGTTTAATCAGAATGATATACGAGGCCACTTAACATACCAATGTGATGACTACTGAAAAGACCACTAAAGAGACCACTGAAAAGACATCACAAGGCCGGATTATTCTTTTATACGGTTGAATCTATTGAATTAGTATGTTTAGATAAAGTGAATTGTGCGTTGTACGGTGTACAATGTACGGGTTTATGCTTGGTGACGACAACACTTGACTCCACCTTAGCCGTATTAAATCAATAGAATAATTTATATTTCTAAAAGTGGCTCTGCTTAGATATATAATTCCGGCTGGGCCGAGTACATTTAGACATCAGGCCTTACCTTTTCTAATTTTCTTTTCTCACCTGTTTACTTTCTTTAACTTGCTTCTAGCCCAATCCTAAACTCACATAAGGACATCAATTCAAGAGAATATCGCGTCGATCACCCCTCGGGCCGAATTCGGATCGCTATGAAAAATGTATGGATCCTATTGGTCAGCATACTGCCAGTTTGGGGTATAACTCTTCATCGAAGAGATAATCCCGCGGTGGTGCAAATGGATATTCAACGAAGAGATGTTCTCGATCCTATTACTAGAGATCGAGCAAGAAGGAAACGTTCCGAGACAGTCAGCCAGGCATTAGACAATGAGGTATATATATATATATATATATTTTTAGTATACAATCGGGAACTTTTATACTAATGTTTCTGCCTAGGAAACTTTATACTTCTGCAACGTCACTCTGGGTACTCCAAAACAGAATTTACGTCTGGTTCTCGACACAGGAAGTAGTGATTTGTGGTGCAATACGCCAAATTCTACTCTCTGTGAATCTCGCCAAAATTCCTGCGTCCAATCAGGTACATACGACCCGAGTTCTTCCTCTTCATATTCATTTGTGAATTCCGACTTCAATATTAGCTATGCCGATGGATCCAGCGCCATCGGGGACTATGTTACCGACACGCTTACCATCGGTGGCACAACTATTAAAGACTTCCAATTTGGCGTTGGGTTTTTGTCTGGCTCTCCAGGTGAGTGTTTCGTCTCGGAGATTACATTGATTACCAGCTGACATAGATGCTTTACAGAGGGTGTGCTGGGTATAGGCTATACTGCAAATGAAGTTCAGGTTGGCAGAAACGGAGACTCACCTTATGCCAACCTACCCAAGGCAATGGTCGACAAAGGAATAATCCAATCAAATGCCTACAGTCTCTGGCTGAATGACCTGGATGCGAGCACAGGCTCGATTTTATTTGGTGGAGTCAACACTAAGAAATACCACGGCACCTTGCAAACAGTCCCCATCCAGAAGGTCCGAGGACAGTACGCGGAATTCATCATTGCGCTCACTGAAATTTCCCTCACTACTTCTTCCGGTACACAAACCCTTTCTTCGAGTTCCATTCCTGCAGGTGTGTTACTGGATTCGGGAAGCTCTCTTTCATACCTTCCAGACACCATTGTTCAGGAGATCTACAACAACCTCGGAGTCTCCTACGAGGCGGACAATGGTATTGGTTATGTTGAATGCGATATAGCAGACCAGGACATCACCCTCAGTTACACGTTCTCATCCCCGACGATAAACGTGGGCATCGACGAGATGGTCATCGACGTTGGCGACCTCTATTTCAAGGACGGCAAGCGGGCCTGCGTTTTCGGTATCGTTCCCGCGGGAGGCAGCACCGCAGTCCTGGGAGATACATTCCTTCGCAGTGCGTACGTGGTATACGATCTCGCCAATCATGAAATCTCCCTCGCCAACACCAACTTCAATGCGGTGGAGAATGATATCTTGGAGATCGGAACTGGCAGTGATTCCGTCCCAGGTGCGAGTGCAGTCTCAAACCCAGTGACTACTGCCCCAGTTGGTGGTGCCGCTGCTCGAATTGGAGGTCCGCATGGAGGCTCCACCGGCCTTTCTGGCTCGGCCTCTGCCACAGGGAACATGGCCATTCCTAAAGCGACAGCTATGCCGAAACACCTGGCCGCTGGCCTTGCTGGAGTAGGGGCTCTTCTGGTGCTTTAAGACACTTGATCACATACTTTTCTTATGTATTTACCTTGCATACTGTGGTGTATCTGGAGTCAGGGAAGGCCATACTTAGAGTTCTTTTCCGTTATACTCCAAACTATGTAGTTTTATGTGTTATGAAATTAACGACATCTGAATTATTCAATCCCTGATCCAATGTAGTGTGCATGTAAAATATAAAGTTGTCTGTATACATATGCTTGGCTGTGATCTATATCCTTCAATTCTTATCCTATACATTCTCGTCCTATTTACACTGGATTTCCTCACCTTCAGAAGCATACCCCCCTTCAGCATCAACATTCGAAAATCAGCAATGGCTATCGATAGCGAGGTACTCATATATTGTGTTCACAAAGGACAGATAGATAGTGAATGATGCGATGTATATAATTTATATCTTGGCATCAACGGGTGGCATCTCTTGGCACCAAAGTTCCTCGACTAACCACCCCCCAATTCCATAATGCCCCGAATCCCATTTTCTGTCATCATAAAAGCCCGACGAGAAAATTATCTTCTGCCCATACTCCTCAAAGAATGTCGCACAATTGATTCTGCTCGCAATGAACTGCGCTGGCTATATGAGCGGGCAGTTCGCGATAGCCAATCTCTTCCATCAAAGGCAGGATGGAGGACCCGATTGAGATCTATGTGTGAGATGCGCTCAAGAGGATATCCTCTCCAATACATACTCGGAGACCAACCATTCGGTGACTTAGAAATTCTCTGCCGAAGAGGCGTTCTGATCCCAAGGTTTGCTATCAGGTTCCTAAAAGCGATATATCTTGCTGACAACATTGCACAGACCAGAAACTGAATCATATACATACCAAGCAGCCAAATTAGTCCGTCAAATGGCCCTTGACCGTAAACACGCGTCCAATTCTCCCGAACAGGCGAGACCCTTGCGCGTCATTGACCTTTGCACGGGCACAGGTTGCATACCGCTTCTTCTGCACGCCTTACTTGCCCCCCATTTCCAGCTGGAGATAACAGGAGTGGACATCAGCCCCAAGGCCTTGGGTCTAGCCCAGGAAAATCTCAAGCATAACCTGCATCTGGGCCAATTGGAACCCACCGCAGCAACCGACATCCGCTTCCACCGCGCCGATGTCCTCGGACATGGCAGTGACAATTCAGTACCGTCCATTGAGTCAATTCTCCACACCCTCCCAAATTTTGGACCAGCAGGCACACCAGAAGAAAGTAGATGTGATCTATTAATCTCCAACCCGCCCTACATATCCCAAACGGAGTTCCGCAATGGCACCACTGCGCGCAGTGTGCAGCGCTTCGAGCCCAAGCTGGCACTTGTGCCTCCATACTCTGGCTCCGGGGTGGAAGACTGCATGCCTGAGGATATATTCTACCACCGCATTCTCACTTTGTCATTGAAGTTGAAGGCAAAACTCACGGTGCTGGAGTGTGGGGATTCCAAACAGGCTAACCGGGTGGTTGCCCTTCACAAACGACTTGCTTCTACAGAATCTGGGCAGTTCAGTGCGGAGATCTGGCCAAGTCAAGAGCAGGATTTGGCTGAGAATGGATTTCATGTAACTGATGGATCGCGAGGTGTTATCATACAGTCTCTCCGGTAGCAAGCGCAAGGTGTATATCATTGAGGCTAGAGTACTTGATGGAAACAAAATATATAGATGATTCTTAATACTAATTTCAATCTTATGGATAACATCGAACTAGTTTTGTATTTCTTGTTATCATATATATGCATACATTTTCGGTCTCAAGATGACCAACTTCCCAACGCATGAAAAAAAAAATTCATAGGAAGACTAACCAAGTACATTTGGAACGCCCATATAAAAAAAGATGGAAGAAAGAACTTTATATACAGAATGGGTAGAGTACCAGCGGGGCAGAGTGCTGATGGCCAGTTTTGTAAGTATTAAAACAGATAAAAGATGCACAGGGCGAATTAATGTACTTGAAATAGTGTGAAAAAATGGCACGGGGAATAACAGGGATGCAAAAATCCGAACCCAAGACCTAGGCCAAGAAAGCATAGACATGAAGTCCGTTCATCGGGGAGTTTGTAATGGGCCCCGATTGATCCCTGTAGTCTAGAACCAAGTAGGCATTGTGAAGTCGTGAAGAATGTGATGGAGCCGTCCACGGGTCGTTTCAAAGATTCTTCTTGTCGGAGGAGTAGCTGCGGTCGTCTTCGCCCTCGACATCCTTGAGGATCGACTCCATCTCCTTGGCCTGTCGCTTCCACTCCGTGTCGGCCATCTTCGTCTCTCTGCGGAAAAGCTCCTCATTGGGCTTGCGGTAGCTGCCACCCAGACGGTCCCATAGAGTGGTGAACTGTCCGTAGTTGTAGTTGAAGTACAAGTGGTGCATGGTGTGGCAGGCAGCACCGTTCACGATGGGGCTGTTGGCGACGTACTCGCCGTCATGAATGAAGACGGTCCAGAGATTGATGAAACCGAACAGGAAGACATAGGCGAACTTCTGCAGAGGGAAGAGGAAGGGGAAGACGTGGTAAGGGACACTCTGGGACCAGCCGTCGAGTGGGTGGAAAGCGTGCGAGGCATAAGGGCTAGGCATGATCCACTTGTGGTGAGGCTTGTGCAGAGTCTTGTAGACGCGGGGGTGGTGCAAGCCACGGTGGATCCAGTAGATGAAGAAATCGGTAAAGCAGATGAAGAAGGGAATTTGGATGAGGCTGTAGTACGGGAAGGGCTCTTCGGCGGTGGTGTCGTAGAGTTTGGCGTATCCACGGACCTCAAGAACAAAGAAAGGAGCTGTCAAGAGGGACATTGGAGGCATTGCGGACATGGCCTGTCTGATCTCCATACCAATCTGATTCTTGAGGAATTTGGGGTGGTTGTAAGTCGTCTTGTCCCAGATAAAGATGAACGAGAGAGTTGCGACCACGAAGTAGACAAGCAGACCAAAGATCCTAATTGAGTGTTAGTTCTTATGTTGCGGAAAAGCGGCGATATGAAGTCTTGAAGGGATTGGCGCATTACCAAGTAATCAGGAAAAAGCTTGTAAATTGACGATAGATGTTGTTTCTGGGCCAAGCACTGAGGTATGCGTATTTCGAGGGTTCCAGATATATCATTTGTGTAGCCTGTTCATAGACAAAAGGTTCCGGCCCAAAAAGGGCCATGGAAGTGTTCGCCGCCGCATTGACGAAGGCCGGCAGCGAGATGGACGAAGATAGGGAGGCGGGGAGGAGTGTCGAATAGAGGCGATCACCAATAAAGGTGTCCCATATTTCGAGAATGATATCCATGATTGAGGGCACAGATAGGGTGGGGGAGGAGAAGAGGAATTGAGAGGTACTTGAAGGAAACAAAAAAAAGGAGATCCGCGGCGAATAACAAAATAGTCACACCAGCGCGGAACCGCCACAGCCGTTGCGATGCCACCTCTTACTTAATAAGCCAATTGATCCAGGGGCGGATGGTATGATGCGGGATGTACATATTGTAGTTATCTTAGTTATCTTATGAGTGTTATATATAAAAGTATAATATTTTATTACTTTTTTTAATCATTTCATATATACTTCTATGGTCTACGTTGTACTAAAAAGAAAAAAGAGTAGAAACTTAAAAAGAACACCGATCTGACCCCTGGTTTGCCACAGTTGATGCCTTAATACCTTGATGCCTTGGTGCCTGTGCCATAGTTTGTGGCTAGATCAGGCAAGTGACAAAAGTACATTACAGTAATTGCAGAACCAAATTGGTACTGCACGGACCAGTTCCACTTCCATTTCCCATATTCAGAGGTACCTCCACTGCCCGCACTTGCGGGTGTAGATCCAAGTATTTTCTGGTATTCTGGGTATCTTCAGTTGGAATACAAAATACCTGTGTTTTATGCGAACCTCACGATCTGGACCCATCCATGTGCTCCGTACAATATACGCATTTACAAAGCACATACATACATGTACTTTTAACCAAAAAATCACTTGACCTTCTAATCTCATTTGTGGAAACATTACACATCTAATTGACTGAACTTTTTCTTCACTGTTGTATGTCATACAAAGTATTATGTAGTTTAGAAAAGTATATGTATTCTCTATGGACCCGCGCTTCTCGCCTATGATTTCGCTTCTCGCGCCAACCGCTGCCGCCCTTCCCCCCAAACTCAAACCTTCCCGCTTTAAAGTGTCATCTGCCAGCCTCTTCCACCCCTCTTACCGCTACACCCCCATTCTCATCCCCCAGCTTATTCAGTACCGCCCACTATCGCTGTGGCTAGCTGCGCGGTGCCATCCACCAAGCATTGAAGCCTCAGTGATCAAGATCATTGAGTCCAGGACAAAACCTTGGTTGCGATCCCATTCGCTGACCTAGAGCTGTCATCCGAACATCCTTTCTTTCTTTCTGTGACTTGGTGAAAAACAGAAAAAAAAAACCCCCAATATGTACAACGCTCATCGCGGGATGGTGCCCGCTCCCAACTCCCGTCTAACGGAGTTGCTGGATCAACTGCGCCAGGAGTTTGAGAGCCAGTCGCGAAACACCGGTGAATTTGAGCATCAGTGTACGTATCCCTTCCAACATACCCTCTCTCTTCTGTGCTCAGGCGATCTGTGCCTTAGAGCTCCCCCCTCCATATCCAATCATTTCATACAGTTGCCAGTTCATTTTCCCAATGACTGCAGCTCCATGGGTTCCGACATTCGCTGAAATGTAATCTAACTGACAGATCATGCAGTGACTGGTCAGCTCCAGGAGATGGAGATGATCCGTCAGAAGGTCTATCAGCTGGAGCAGGCGCAGATCAAGATCAAGCAAGAGTTAGTCCCTTTACCTCCTTGACAGCTTGGAAAACCCTCTCTGACATCGCATTTCCTTTTTTTCCTTTTTAATAGCTACGAGGCTGAAATTCGAATGCTGCGACACGAACTTGAGTCGCGCGGCGTGCAAACCATCCCTTCCCATATCGGCGGACCCGCTGCGGCTCACACAGCTCCTTCCCAGGCTCCTCCACCTGCCTTGGGCCACGGCCCCAGCAATCTGTTTGGCGGTATCATGACCAACCCACCAGGTAGCGGCCCCGGTCTTGCCCCTTCCCTCCCCCAGGATCAGCAGCCTCCCCAGCATCCCCTTCAACAGCCTGCTTCGGTCGCTCAGCCTGGCGCACCGCAACCCCAGCAGAGCTCCTTTGGAGGATATCCGGCTGGCGCTGCTGTGAACGGTATGTCGTTGTGTTATACAAGTCGTCGCCCAGTCCGCTGACCCGTTGGATCGTTCGTTTCCCAGGCTACGGGCCTCCTCCGCCTCCTACTGCATCCCCAGGCCCCGGTAAGGGTCGTGGCCGTGTTCCCCCAGGCCCAGGAACCCCCCAGCAAACGCACATCGCCTACCCGGATCCCCGTGCATCCCCTCAGATTCCTCGCCCGACTCCGCCGAACCCCCCTCTTGGCCGCACAGCCGAACGTCCAGGAAACATGCTGGCAAACTGGAACCCCGATGATCTGCCCCCGTCGCAGAAGCGTGAGGGTTCTGACTGGTACGCCGTGTTCAACCCCGAGGTTCAGCGTGTCCTCGATGTGGAGCTGGTGCATCACTTGAACCACGATAGTGTTGTTTGCTGTGTGCGCTTCAGCCGTGATGGCAAGTACTTGGCTACAGGCTGCAATCGCTCGGCTCAAATCTTCGACGTGACCACCGGTCAGAACGTGGCCACTCTTCAGGATGAGAACGTTGACAAGGACGGCGACCTGTACATCCGCAGTGTTTGCTTCAGTCCGGATGGCAAATATCTTGCGACTGGTGCTGAGGATAAGCAGATTCGGGTAAGTTTTTCGAATTATATGGAATCAGCATATGGGAAGACAACTGACTGAATGCGATTGGTTCTAGGTTTGGGATATCAACCAGCGCACCATCAAGCATATTTTCAGTGGACACGAGCAGGATATCTACTCTTTGGACTTTGCTGGCAACGGTCGCTTCATCGCCTCTGGCAGTGGAGACAAGACCGTGCGCCTTTGGGATATCCTCGATGGCAAGCTTGTCTACACCCTCAGCATTGAGGATGGTGTCACTACCGTGGCCATGTCTCCGGATGGTCGCTACGTGGCTGCAGGTTCGTTGGACAAGAGCGTGCGCGTCTGGGACACTACAACCGGATACCTCGTGGAGCGCCTGGAGAACCCAGATGGTCACAAGGACAGTGTCTACTCGGTCGCGTTTGCGCCCAATGGTCGTGACCTTGTCAGTGGCAGTCTGGACAAGACTATCAAGCTCTGGGAGCTTACTGTTCCCCGGGGCATGCACCCCCACAGTGCTATCAAGGGCGGCAAGTGTATTCGTACATTCGAGGGTCACAAGGTAAGATATGAGATTTACTTTGGAAGATAGACAGAAGCTAACTACAATTTAGGACTTTGTTCTCAGTGTGTGCCTGACACCCGATGGTGCCTGGGTAATGAGTGGTTCCAAGGATCGCGGTGTTCAATTCTGGGATCCAGTGACTGGAAATGCCCAAATGATGCTTCAAGGCCACAAGAACTCTGGTGAGTATCAACCTTCAATGTTTACATTGTCATCTCTAACTCCGAATAGTCATCTCGGTTGCGCCCAGTCCTACTGGCAACCTGTTCGCGACCGGCAGTGGAGACATGCGTGCACGAATCTGGAGGTAAGTGATTTTTTTTTCCCCTGACTGTTTCGAATAGGCTGACTCCTTAGATATTCGGCGTACACTGGACGATGAAAGGGTTGATGGCGTATGAAATTTTTGCTTTGGTTATGGGCTTTATTTATGCTGAATTTGTCTTTTATTTTTATTTACTCTATGCACCTCTTTCAAGTGTATTGAACACTTTTTTTTTTCTCAATTTCAAAATTGCCATTCTTTTATATCTCAAGTTACTCCGTATATGTCAAATATCAAATATTAGTCACACGGATATTTTGGAACGAGCTGAAATTCCCAACAACATCCCTGTCCGTCTGAATTACCACAGAGCCTCCGAGCTGGTAATTAATATTTTAGCATATACTCAACGGAGACATGCTGATCGAAATTTCATCAAAGCATAATATATATGCAGAGTCTAGGTGCCTTCGCCTATTCAGGAAGTAGTTCATGAAGACTAGTCGCATCCCTGCAGGAACCATTCTCAAGTCCCGATACCTCACTTCGACGCAGGACGTGCAGGGTTAACACTCGTGTCAGATTGCCATGGCTGTCACTTTTCGGAGTATGGAGCTAAGACCACGAGTAGTCATGATCGACATGAACTCCATCAGCCAAGCCATTTGGTGCAGTTTAAGGGGGAGGAAACCCATCGAGACTTGGCCAAAAGCCCTTGTGCTGAGTCTTCCTATTGGGGGCCAATATCGACTCCCTCATCCACTTATCCCAAAAGAGAGAGAGACAGATCGCACTTGGCTGCGAGAGGATCAATTTGATTGGTTCTCCGAGGAGATTCAGATCACCAGACTTCAATTTTCCAGGGCCTTGGGCGGCTAACTGGGATATTCGATGGGCTGAGATCGGACACTATTGGCGACTATCGGGATGGCGCATCCTGTGTACTCGTAATTACGGGCCAGCCATTGATTGCTGACTCCGAGATCGACTGAATAATCTACATGTCGACTGCAGGTCGATCACGGTCCACTTGAGAATTCCGCGATTTGAAGGCCCGGCCCGTCTCCTCGAGGGGAGAGATGCACAGCACGATAGGTTTGTTTCCTTTCTTTTTTTTTATTGAGTCTGACAGATGTCAGTCACTTCGGCAATATCAATGTATACAAAAAGTGTACAGAATATGGGGAAGGGGAAAAAGGCTTTCGCCAGTCGCGGCTGTGAGTATATGTGTGACTGACACACATATTCTCACACCGAATGTGTCGAAATACATTACCACTAAGGATTACTATATCTCGTGGTACAGGAAATTGATGCGTCCAAAGTAAACCATGCATCTCATGGATGCATGCTTCGCTTCAGAGCTTCCAGGTTCGGGCTTCAGGAACCCCACCCCCCCCCACACCCCACCAACACACCACCCCCCCGGAAACCCCAGTTCATCCATTTGATTTGATTTATATTATTTCTAGTGGAGTCATATCAAGGATCCCTAGTCCACGGAGATCGTCGAATCAAACATTTTGCTATGCATTGCATCTCTGGGCTTGAACTGCCTTTCCCCCCTTTTTTTTCCATTTATTTTCCCCTAAACGTCATACAGAAGATCGAAATGGGCCTTTTCGACTCTGTTCTCACCGGCTGACTCCCCCTGTCGCCCCCGCCATTGTAACTGGGGCCCTGGTATATCTAGATCGGGAGGCGCCACGGTCGATGCGGAAGATCATCACTAGTTGTCAATCATCATATTCCTCTTCACGGCATGACCTGCATATATTTGCTATTTCCTTTCCCCTCTTCATATATAGATCCAGATCTATAGACCGATTGCGCTTTGGACGGCCTGTTTGTCTATTTTCTTTATCCTTGCTTCTTCTTCTTACTGTCAGCCAGAACCCAAATACCACCGGGGATTGGGTTTCAGAACATACTGGAAGACACCATCCTGAGATATACATTGAGATACATTGGTATCTAAGATATCCAGAGGGAGAAGGTATCCTTGCCTTTCTAATATACTGAGAACACCTCCCGAATAAAGATGGAGACTGTAGAGCCCGTCTCTTACGAGTTCCCCGGCCATGCCGTGGGTGCGTTTGTACACAGACGCCCGATGGACTCGACCCTGAGCCAGAACTTTCCCTTCTATTCACACCAAACAGCATCGTACTCGCTACCTTACCAGGCCCCGAGTAGCTTGCCTTACAGCTTCGCCCACTCGGCGGGTCACACACATACACACCCGAATCCCTATCAGCAATACTTTGTCCCCAGTCAGCATCCGATACAGCCGCAGCCACTGCGTCTCACAACGGAACAACCGTTGCAGTCTCTTCCAGAGATTCGCCCGGCAAAGAACGCCATCACCCAGACAGTAAAGTCTACACCCGACCATGGTCCACGAGTGCAGATTTCCACCGGAGGGAACAGTTCACCAGTCGGGGACGAGAAACAAACCGCCGACATCGCCTTCTCCACCAACGTGGATGTCCTGATGAAGGCAATCCAGGCAAAGCACGCCTCATCACCGACCCAGCAATCGCTACCACCACTCCAACACCTGGCACCACCAACATCACAGTCCTATCCCGCATCCTACCAGACTACCTCACCCACACCACCACGCTGCTACCATACCAACGAAGCCCAGCTCTCACGCTCAGGCAAGAAGCGCAAGTACAACTGCAGCCTACCAGGCTGTGGTAAAAGCTTCGCTCAGAAAACCCACCTGGATATCCATATCAGGGCACACACAGGCGATAAGCCATTTGTGAGTACACAGCATTGCCCTAAACAGGATTCAAGATCAGCAACTAATCCTTTTCGGACGTGGCAGATATGCAAGGAGCCCTCATGCGGACAACGTTTCTCGCAGCAAGGCAACCTGAAGGTAAGCAGCGGCAGCCGCGCCATGCACACAGAAACTTACATTCCTTAGACCCATCAGCGGCGACACACGGGGGAAAAGCCCTTCCAATGTGAAATCTGCCACAAGCGATTCGCCCAGCGGGGAAATGTCCGCGCCCACAAGCTCACCCATGACCAATCTAAACGGTTCGACTGTCGTCTAGATGAATGTGGGAAACAGTTCACCCAGTTAGGAAACCTCAAGGTATGTCTAATGTTGTCTATGTCATCATTCTCATTCAAAGCTAAACGCCCAAAACAGTCCCACCAAAACAAATTCCACGCAGCAACCCTCCACAATCTTACCGTCCGGTTCTCTCAAATGGGTGAGAACGGTTCGATGAACATGAACCCCGCAGATCGTGAACTGTGGATATATTTCGCGGGGCTATACAAAAATAGCAACAAGGGTATCAAGGGTCGTGGGAAGGATCGTCGGATCTCGACGACGAAACGGTCTGATGCTCAGTGTGATCCCATGGATCGAATACAGTCCGTTGAGTCTGAAGAGGGTGTTTCGAAAATGCAGATGCAGATACAGTTGCGCCGGGGGAGTTTTGATGGGTTCTCCGTTTATAATACTTCTAGCAGTGATGGTGATGATGCGGAGCCTTATTATATTGATCGTAGGGCTCATGTTCATGGACATGGGCCTTGAGTTCCCGGGCTGTTTATATTTGTATTCTCTTTTGATATCCCTTCTTTTTTAAATTCCTTTTTCTGCACAGATCTGAATACTTTAACTATATCTTTCTTTTTACACTTTTCCTTTAGGGTCAAAGATGTAAACGATCCACGAGAACATTTCTTATGTATTTTGGGATATCCCCGAGGGTTGTACAGTTGAATCAACAGGGTCTTGGTTTCTTTTCTTTTTTTCTTTGTACAACTTAAGTGTTACGCAGTTCGGGCGCAGATTGCGCCTCGAAATGAATTGAAATAATTTTGGAATAAATCAGGTTTTTTTCATTTTCCTGTCAGCCTTGATTCGAAGACCCGGAGTTAATTGTACAATATAGAGAGAAGCTAGAAAAAACAAGGCAAAAAAATGGCTCTCCGGGACATAAATCATTTAATGAAACAGCTCAAAGAGATCGAATGCGAGAACGCAGCATGCATAAGCTGATATCTGATCGAGATGGCATCCATATATGACATCTATTGCGCATCAGCATCGGCAATATCCAAATCTTCATCCGCAGCATCTTCCCGCTCAGAAACAGGTGGGGCCTGGGTGCCGAGGGGAGTAGCGTGAGCCAATGCATCGGAGATGAAGGCTTCTTCAACTGCAGCCTTTCTGCGGAACACGCGGAGCCAGCGCCGGCCCCATTGGCGAATGATAGCATCCTCGGGCTGAGTGCCGCTGCCGTCGCCGCGCTCCATCTGTTCATCGTTGCTTCCCGCAGCGACGGAGACGATGGAGTCCTCGATGTACTTGAAGAGGGCTTGCATGTCTGCGCGCTCACGAGCGAGAGTCTCGTCGATGACGCTAAGCTGGGGCTCATAGAGGCCGGGCTGGGTGCGAGCGGCGACGATCTGGCGCATGCGGTTGGTGACCTTACCGACGGTAGCGGAAATCATCTCGAAGACGTGGGGCTTTGAGAGGATGGTTCCTGCCGCGACAGACTCAGAGAGAGCCCATTCAAGAACGGAGAGTGGGCTGAGGATCGTGTAGTTAAGCAGTTTGTCAATGATGTTGATGGCAATACCGGGCTGGTCGACCCAGTAGTCCATGACGGAGCTGATAATTTGGCAGCGGGCGCGTTGAGATTCCGTGCCGATGGCCAGGAGGCGATCTTTGCTCCGTTCGATGCATGAAAGGACGTGGGAGAGCGATTTGGATCCGACGAAGCAGAGTGAGGTCACGAATGCGTCTGTCGAGGGAATCTTAGGGTCGTCGACGCCCTGGCTCTTGGCCTGGTCTTCAATGGCTGTAATAACGGGCTGAATCTCTTCGTCGCTAGCCTTCTTCCGAATCAGCTGCATGAGTTCTTGGCCTTCTTTGGAGTATGGTGCCACTGGAAAGTCAAATTAGCAACTGTTCTCTGTCGTCTGATCGTGGGTAAATTACGTTCGGAGGAATATTTGAAATCGGGGGTATCCTTCTCTTTGCCTGGCGTGATCAACTTCGGGTAGGGATCAGGAAGAGTTCCCTTAATGCGCTGGGCAAAGCTCAGCCGAATTTCTTTGTCCAAAGCACCCTGGATGAACGCCATTCTTGGATCAATGGCGGGCAGATCAAGATCGTCGGTCCTGCGAAAGTTTTAGAAGACTGTTTACAGCGTGGAGAGGCTGACTTTTTACTTACCACTCGCTCCATTTCCATGTAAACCCAAAGTTGCTCAAGTGGTGAGCAAACCAATCCAGGAAACGGTTGCTGAGCTCCAAATCCATTGTCTCTAGGCTGTTGTACAAGAATCGGATTGCACGGCCCAAACTGGGCGCAATTGCCGCAGGGGCAATCTTACAGCACTCAGTGAGAACAGAGTGGTAGTAGACGAGTTTGTGCTCAGCCGCTGGCAATTGGAATAGCTGCGAGAATACTGCGTCCACTGCCACATCCTCGGGCTTCCACGGCTGCACCTCCCCGATGAGCTCACGCATTCGGTCGAAAGGCGTGGCACGCTTCACGAATGTGGTAGAGGTGAAATAGCAGTCGATATCAATCAGGAACTTGGCCGTAGCAACACGGTTGAAGTCAAGGAGGTTAATAGTATCAACCAGTGCGTCCCGAATAAGAGAAGAGGAGATATCTGTGAGCGCAGGAACGGTGTCTACTTCTTGGTTGGCATACACCGAAAGGTAAACCTCCGGGAAGAGAGGACGCGGGCCGTTCGGTACAGGGTTAGGCACAGTGATCGTGGGGAAAGGAACCTTGGTCACCGATTCGAAAGACTTGGGCTCATTAATTTCGGCGTCCTGGACGTCTTTCCAAGGACGAGGGAGGCACTTAAGCTCCCAGCCGTGGTTGGCCTCCGCTTGAAGTTGAGTCTGCATCAAACTGATAACACTTTGACCGGCTGCCTCCTGATTTTCCTCGATGCTGAATGAGTTCACCAAATCGACGAGGGCGTGCGGCGTAGATGCGATAATGTCGGTCTTCTCTAGAAGCGCAGAAGCCTGGGCCTCGAAGCCCGAGGCAGGGGACAGCATCACATAAGGAATGGCGAACTGGATAATCTTTACCAATTCAAGGCCAAGAAGCTGAGGAAGACTGTTAGACGAGGTTCATCACAGGGAAATAACTCAACGTACATCTTCAGAAGAGGCAGTCTGGAGATCGACTGCACGAGCGAACAGCTCTTCCAGAAGAGGGAAGATACCGTCACCCTCATAGACCGGCTGAAGGATACCCAGGAAGCGAATAAGAAGCTTGACTTCACGCCATGCGCCCATATCAATGTATTTCTGCAAGGCCTCAGCTGCCTTGCTCAAAACCTCCGATCCGAGCTCAGGCTTGAGGCTATGTGCGACCAGGACCGTGCCGGCGATAAAAGGAATTTTCATGGGTTGTTCGAGAACGCTTCACACATCCGAGTTAGTAATATTCCACGGTGAATTGAGTACGCCGACACGTACAGATCAAGGGAGATGTTAACAAAGTCGCGGCGGATTTCCTCGTCATCGTAGTTATCCGCGACAGTCTTCGCAATACCCTGAACGTCATCTTCTGCTCTGCGAGCAGCCTATTGATAAGACATGAGCGTTAGTTCATATGGATCATTTAAAGAGCGCAATGCGCGCGACAGGAAAAAAAAACGAGGCCCATACCGATTCCGCGATGGTCAACAACTGTCGTCGGACCTGGGCAAACAATGGCTCCTCATATCTGCGCCTCTGGGGGCGACGATCAAATTCATCATCATCTGTGAGAATCACAAGCTAAGTTAGCGTGTTGTCAGGGAAACTTGTCAGATGTCTCTTACCTCTGTAGCGGCGCTTGCGCCCACCCCTGTAGCCCTGGTTTCGACGGTCGTTTTCGGCCATTGTGCTGTTGGATCAATCCAATGAGCCGGTATGATACCAGGTTTGATAGGGACAATGATTCTGGGTAAGTGGAAAGCGAGGGTGACAGCTTGGGAGCTTGAGGTGAATGGGGAGCTCGGGGGAAATTGAAGTTCCGGACCCGGTGCACCTGCCTTTCACAATAGTTCACAGTTCACAGTTCACTTGAAAGAGTTGGCTTATGCGGCCTTGTCTTTTTGGTCTTTTGGTCTTTTTAAGATGTCTTTTTTGAAAGATATTTTCTAATAGTAGTAGGAAAAAGGAGGGGAAAATGTAAGCTCTACGGTCTTTTCAATGTATACATCAAGCCAGGAATGTAATAGTCTGAATACACATTCCACTTACTATACAGTTACACTGTTCAAATCTCATTTATTCTTTACGCATCACTACCGAAAAAAAGAAGGAAAAAAAGGAAAATCGTCTGCTTGAGAACTGGAATGACATATAGCTCATGGCCGGTAAGTCGGAGGACCGGGGAACCAGCCAAGCCCGATGAATCTGATACAAGGATATTGCGAACAAAAAAAAAAAAAAGAAAAGCAAGGACGCAAAGGGAAGAACAAACGGGGATCTAGCGCTGCAAGAGATTGACCATCATAGAAGGGATCCTCTCGAAACTTGTATCCAACGAAATCTTCAAGATCTCTGATACATTTGTAGGAGATTCACCCCTCCATCCGGGGTCGATATCGGCTTGCTGCGTCTGGGGGTTCTTCCCCTCGGCCGATGAAACTATGCAGTCTCCGACCCCCAAAGGCAGACGTGCACAGAAAGGGTATCACTTTTTCCTCCCGAGAGCTGTCTCAGACACCTCAAAATAAACTCCAGGCCATGACCTCCCATTTCGTGAAAACCATCAGCCCTTACCACCAAGAAACATAGTTTCCGCTTCCCAGCCATTAAAGGATGCACTTTTCCCACTTCATACCACTCCCTGCTCACCAGTTCCAAGGCTCCACTATGTCCGGGGGTTGAGGCACACAAATCGAGTCCCCAAAGAAAAGAAAAAAAAGACAAGGTGCGTTCTCAATTCAGTTTACTCGAGATCATGATGGAACTTGGTTGGCAGGTCGAATCTTCTCACACACAGTGCAGATGGCGGCACAACGAACAGACGTATCCCTCGCAGAGGGCGGAGGACACACACTGGCCAAACTCAGTCAAGGTGGGCAAGCATCTCCTCCTTAGAAAGGGGTTTGAAGTTATCTAGGCCGAGGCCGCGGGCTTCGAGGGCAGGGCGAGCGTGAGGGGGAATCATTTGGGCGTTGAGGTCAGGGGCAATCGAAAGTTCTAAATTGATCAGCGGGGTTTCTCACTAGCGAGGATGAGGATCTTTTACCATGTCGTGAGAAATCGAAGAGGGCGGGGAGATCCTTAGGGGGGTTGTTGTGGTGGCGTGAGTCCGGTAGCCGGGTGTTCGGGTCGCGGAGCTCATCGAAGAAGGGGTGGCACATCGCCTCAACCGCGGACAACCGTTGTGTCGGGGTGTATTCCAGGAGGGCGGAGATGAGGTCAATAGCCTCGGGTGGTGCCTTACGGAAAACCTAGTTCGGTCAGCACTATTACAGACCTGGAAAGGATTGGGGAAAATACCTTGTTAAAGGGATGGGGCTTGATTTGAGGGAACTTGTGCTCCATATAGTTGGGGTT